CACCGAGTCCAGGAGCGGCGTCGCATGCAGCTGCAGGGTCGGCGCCGTGGGCGGGGTCCAGGGGCGGCGTCGCGGGGTCCAGGGGCGGCTGCACCAGGGGCGGCTGCTCCAGGGGCCAGGGGCGGCTGCACCAGGGGCGGCTGCTCCAGGGGCCAGGGGCGGCTGCTCTGGGTCCAGGGGCGGCTGCTCCAAGGGCGGCTGCTCCAGGGGCCAGGGGCGGCTGCTCTGGGTCCAGGGGCGGCTGCTCCAGGGGCGGCGTCGCTGGTGCAGGGCAGGCCCGCGCACGGCTGCAAAGCAGGCGCGGGCGCAGATGAGACAGAGGCGGCGGCCAGGGGGGGGGGGCGCCGCGACGAGCAGGGACGGCACCCAGGGGGCGCCGCGACGAGCAGGGGCGACGCCCCAGGGGCGCCGCGATGAGCAGGGGCGGCGTTCAGGGGGCGCCGCAACAAGCAGGGACGACGCCGCGCGGGTCCCGCAGGGGCGTCGCGACGAGCAAGGCGACGCCGCGCGGGTCGCGCAGGGGCGTTGCGACGAGCAGGAGCGGCGACGCACGGGTCCCGCAGGGGCTTCGCGACGAGCAGGAGCGGTGCCTCGCAGGGCGCCGCGACGGGCAGGGTACGGGCGGGCAGAACAGGCCCGCGCGCGGACGTGGGGCAGGCGCGCAGGCGGCGTGAGGGCAGGCCGCGCGCGGGGCAGGAAGACGCCGCGCGCCCGGGGCGCACGGCGGGCAGAAAACCGCCGTACGCCCCGAGCACACGGCGGGCAGAAAATTGCCGTGCGCCCGCCGCGCGCACGAGGCGCGCGACAGGACGACATGCAGCGGAAGCAGACTGGTGGGCCCGTTAAGGAAGGCAGCAGGAAGGTGCCTGCTCGTAGGGCCTAGGCTTAGTAGCCTAGGCCAAAGGGGAGTCGAGAAAATTGTTGCAAGAAGAAGTGGTTGAACTAGCAAGCAGGTGGATACACATAGGAAACCCTAAGGGGCCGTACTCACTATAGAGTACCCCACTGCAGGCTAGACAAACTACACATTCTGACACCCGCACCTACGCGCCCCCCGCCCGACATCCAGCCGCACCACGATCCCTGGGACACCATCGGCTGGGGCAACGAACCGTCGACCCCGCGATGCACAGTCTACGGATCCGATCCCGAGCCGCTCAAGCCTACCTTCATTCTCGGCACCATCCCCGGGACGAACGTCCCACATTCCGTGATACTTGACAGAGAGTTTTTGGCGCTGATGCTGACGACGGTGAACGACGATGAAGAAGCTGAAGAAGCGACAGTGGAACCTACCCCAGCACTAGAAGAAGACCTCAAGATAGTGTGCGTGTGCTACATGCGCACATCCGGATTCTGTGCCAGCGGACCTTTGGCATCACCCCTCACGTGCCACGCTGGAAAACTGCATAAACACAGGCGTATTCGCACCTGGCGCTCTCCTGAGCCCTGACGGCTCCGAAATGAGAAGCACATCACAGCCATGCAACTGCAGCATCTACCCCGAAGCTGCGGTATGCCATCAGCCGTTCCCCCTACTGGAGCCGGGAACTAATCGCTACCCAATGCTGCACAACGCATACAACGATTTCCTCGTGGTCGGCCACTGCGGACTTCACGACGAGCATTACACTCTCACATTCGTTGACGCGGGAGCCCGCTACGTGTGGGCAGTCAACGTTGAAGCTTGCAGCAGAGCGTACGAGGACTTCCGCCTCTGGCTGGCACACGCGCAATGGCAATCTGGGAAGAAATTGAAAATCTGCCAGTCGGACGGCGCAGCGGAATTTTGCAGCAAGGAGCTGCATGACTATCTGGCGCAGAAAGGCGTCAAGCACCACATCTCTCTCCCCTACGCACACCAACAGGAGCAAGGCGTTGCTTAGCGCACAAATCGCACGCTCATGACGAAGGTGCGAGCGCTCCTGAAGCAATCAAAACTTCCGCCGACGTACTAGACCCACGCGATGCACCACGCCGTGTGGGTGCATAATCTGCTGCGAACCACTGCCGTCACCAGCAACTTGTCCCCGCATCTGAAGTGGACGGGCACGAAGGGCGACATATCCATGCTCCGCGTCTGGGGATGCATGGTGCAATATCACCCGCCGACATCAACCATCGGGAAATTCGTAAGCCGCGCGCGCTGGGGAATCCACCTCGGCATCAGCCACGAATACAAGGCGTGGCTCATTCCGGACCTCATCAGCCACAAGGCCATAAACGCACGCGATGTAATCTTCTACGAGCGACTCTTCCTCGAGCAGTTTCGCGAAGACGAGCGGACAAACACAAATCGCGTTTACGTCAACGACGGGCACAGCTACACAGCGCCCGAAGACGAAGCTGCTGCAGCCATCCTGGAGGAAGACACCAGAGGCGAGTTCGGAGGAGGAGATCGCCACAGCAGCGACAATGACGATGAAGACCCCTCACGAGGAGGAGTCAACAGAGCAGGAGGAAGCAGAAGAGGCGCAGAACCACCACCTGAACCAGAGAGTGACGACGATGACGTACAAGAGGTCATCCTACAGCATCGCCACGACAGCACCGTCTCAGGACTGCAGCTTCAATGGCTCCACGCCGCCACTTCAACGGCGCCATGTGTCATCGAGCCCAAGAACCCGCGCCAAGCACTCACGGGACCACACAGCAAGAAGTGGCGTGGGGCAATGGATGCAGAAATCAGGGCGCTCGAATCCAGCGACACCTAGGTGCCCGTCAATCGCAAGGAAATTAACGGGAGAAGGATCCTCTCCGGCAAATGGGTCTTCCGCGTGAAGACCGCAGCGGACGGCACGATCGAGCATTTTAAGGCACGTTGGGTCGTGCGCAGCTACGATCAGAGCCACGGCATCGACTTCGACCAGACGTTTGCGTCGGTCAGCCGTCACACCTCCGCCAGAATTTTACTCGCCATCGCCGCCGCAAGGCACTTACCACTCCGTCAAATCGACGTGAAGAACGCATTCCTCTATGCGTTAGTGGATACGGTAATTTACGTGGAGCAGCCGCACACATACGGCGAAGGGGATTTGCGTGTGTGCCAGCTGCGAAAGTCCCTCTACGGGATCAAACAGGCGCCAAGGCTCTGGAAGCAGCACCTGGACAACATCCTGCATGAGATAGGCTTCAAGCAACTTTCCCACGACCCCGGAATGTACCGCCGCGATTTCTGCAGCAATTATATTCTCCTTACGATCTACGTCGACGACCTACTCTACACAGGGTCAAGCAACGAACTGCTCAAACAGTTTGAAAAGAACCTGGCGGGGTGCGTCGGCCTTAATATCTCCTACGTACCAGAGGCCATTCATCTGTCAGTAGCCAAGTCCGCAGAGGAACTTGGCAAACGCTTCAACATTGCGCCTGCACCACTTTGCACCTTTTACCGCGCCTGAAACAGGAATCGGTTGCCCTGTCATCGGTTGAAGCTGAATTCATCGCCGTGACAGCAGCAATTTGCGAAGGTCCCTACCTGCAGAAACGCCTGCAAGAGGCGAAAATTCCAGCCTCACCGACCTTTCGCCTGCACTGCAACAACCAGAGTGCGATCCGAATCAGAAACAAGCCTGGATTAGTCAACCGTACCAAACACATCGCGCTGCGGTACTTCTTTGTCAAGGACGAGGTGAACAAGGGGAAGGTGGACCTGACCTACTGCCCGACGGGTGACATGGCAGCTAATTTTCTCACGAAGCGACCGCCACGTCAGCAGTACCAGCACTGCTCCGAACTCAGCGGGGTTGTCAAGCGGGTCAAGACATGCTACGGTCAGGAGTGAAGGTGGGTGTTACGAAAAGTAAATTCAGAAGGAACACTGTGCACTACTGACAGCAGCAAGCGAAGCACACAATACCGAGGCTGGAGAACGAAGAGGCAGAAATGACACGAAGCGAGGCGAATAGTTGGAAAGCATCTGGACCGTCGAAGCAGACAACATCGGGCAGCTGAAGGAGCGAGGAAACTGGCGGGAACAGTTTCTTAACTATACGTGCTGCACGATTGGGCTTAAACATAAAATAAGGGAATATACCCCTTAAAGTACATGGCTTGCTAGGACGTTTGATATTCCCCTGTACTCATGTTTATACGCATGTACCTGCATGTGTTGATCATCTCAATCATTTTACATTCACTCTGATTTGAGGTCAAGGGCCCACCACTACCACACACTCTGTGCGAACCTTCCCGAGGTGATCCTGGTTACGATATAACTTCTGATCGCAGCAATTACTGCAAGCATATTTTATCGTGCTTGAGTGAGTCGAGTGCATGGTCATTATATCAGCTGTTATGAAAAGGACATCTATTGGTATACCCCCTCTGGATGGAGGGGTTCTTCTATTGGTATACCCTCTCTGGATGGAGGAACTCCATATCGCACCTGGGTTCAGTTGTGCCCCCGTTTTGTCACAGAACTTCTGCGTGTCTCCAAGGACCAATGGTGTTTCACTGCCGGTTTTGTCCCAGCTTGCAGGACAGAATGGATGAGCCCGAGGCGCAACTGCCCCCTGACACAGAACGGTCAGGATGAGCTTGAATGCAAATCATCGATCGAGCATGCCTAGCGGAATTTGTGTGTAAAAAAGGTGGGTAGCGGTTTGAATCGGTGAATTTATTGCACTCATCCAGACTACACAGCATCGTACTCAACCGAACGAACTTGAAGAATCTCCTGACACTTCCTTGGGATTGCCACACCGACATTCCCGCGGGAACGTCCTGCTTGGGTTTGCCATGGCCTCCCTGATAAGTGGATATCTGGCTGCTAGAATGCTTCAGTTTCTCGTGCTCTGTCATTTCTAATAGCGTGACCACGCGATTGTACTGGCTCAGACCTTAATCGCATAGTTTTTAGTAGATGGAGCCTAGCTTCTTCAATTATCGCTGCATCAGTCTAGGTTTCCTCCTCTTGACCGCGGCGCTACCACTAGCGCATGCAGAATCGAATGCATGGCCGTATATTCTCACATACAAAATAGTAAAGACGTTTCCGCATGACGCGTCAGCCTTCACGGAGGTCCGTATCCGTGTGCCGTTCGCATCCACGTGACACGTCAGTCCTTGCTCTCATTCTAGTGCTGAAGTTTTCTCTCGTTTGTAGACTCGCCTTTTTCACTCCCTTTGACGATTCAGTTTGCTAGCGCCGCGGTCTAGGATTCTTGAGTGGACTCAAAACTTCTCTTCTTTCGTTCGCTGCACACTCTCTTACCCTCTGGACAGGGTCTGGTGACGTGAGTTGAAATGCGAGCGGAGGAAGGCGATAGGTTTTTACTCCGCTTACATTTGTTGTCTTTACTACCCTTCTCCGCGACTCCCATTTCCCTCTTAACAGGGTTTGCTGTACGTGAGCCATAATGCGAGCGGAGGAAGAAGCAGTGGGGAAGGAATATTCTACGAATCCACTGGGATGCGTGGACAGGTATCCCCGCTTTAGAATGGACGCAGTACCACATCACATGAAGCCTCCTGATTCATTAAGACCGTATAATTGAATCCACACACAGACGTCAATGTTGGTCCTACGTGATTTCAGGTTCCAAACGTTTCAAAACTGGCTAGCTCCTGTTCCAGGTCCCCTGTTCAGTGGATACAGCCACTGGAATATACACCAGCTAAGCAGCTTCCTATTCCTGCCTCTCTCTCGTCCCCAATTGTCTGCAGTCCACTGTCAGGGAAGTCGATGTCGCCACAGGGAAGGTATGTTGGTAAGAAGACAGAAGCCTGATAAATATATTTATTTGGCTGGTTGATATACGAGCCATCTTATACCCATCCACTGTGTACACCTGTGCATGAGAAGCTGCTACCTGTATGCATCTTATCATGGGTACTACCCATAGAAGCTGCTCAGAGAAAGATTATGTTACGTTTGTGTACATGCTCCACCCACCCACGACTGTTGTGAACTTTTGAATCGACTCAAAAGTCACCTCGATAAGTTTATGTTACGTTTGTGTACATGCTCCACGCACCCACGACTGTTAGGCTGGCTTACAAAACCCAACCACCCACCCATCACCCACAACACACCATTCATCACGCACCCACGACCGTTAGGCTGGCTTACAAAACCCAACCACCCACCCATCACCCACAACACACCATTCATCACGCACCCACGACCGTTAGGCTGGCTTACAAAACCCAACCACCCACCCATCACCCACAACACACCATTCATCACGCACCCACGACCGTTAGGCTGGCTTACAAAACCCAACCACCCACCCATCACCCACAACACACCATTCATCACGCACCCACGACCGTTAGGCTGGCTTACAAAACCCAACCACCCACCCATCACCCACAACACACCATTCATCACGCACCCACGACCGTTAGGCTGGCTTACAAAACCCAACCACCCACCCATCACCCACAACACACCATTCATCACGCACCCACGACCGTTAGGCTGGCTTACAAAACCCAACCACCCACCCATCACCCACAACACACCATTCATCACGCACCCACGACCGTTAGGCTGGCTTACAAAACCCAACCACCCACCCATCACCCACAACACACCATTCATCACGCACCCACGACCGTTAGGCTGGCTTACAAAACCCAACCACCCACCCATCACCCACAACACACCATTCATCACGCACCCACGACCGTTAGGCTGGCTTACAAAACCCAACCACCCACCCATCACCCACAACACACCATTCATCACGCACCCACGACCGTTAGGCTGGCTTACAAAACCCAACCACCCACCCATCACCCACAACACACCATTCATCACGCACCCACGACCGTTAGGCTGGCTTACAAAACCCAACCACCCACCCATCACCCACAACACACCATGCACCACGCACCCGCCGTGCACCACCCACCATGCAGGTTCTCAAGAAGGTGCCTCAGAGCGCGCAGGTGTTCAGCGAAGGGCTCGCACTCGTGAACAACAGGTGCGTGTGAGACGTCTCAACATCCACTTACCCTATCACTGCCGTTGCACACAGTTGAAGCTGTATTATTGCTTGGCAAAGATGGTGTCACACCTTGTGTGTCTAACCAGCTGGTGTCGCCTTGGTCTTTCGCCTCTCACTGACGCCTTCTGTCTTTTGCGTGTGTCTGTTGCTGGATTCCTGTCCCCTCAGGTTGTTCCAGTTAGCGTGGCAGGTGAAAACGGGAACAATATACAACCGCAAAAGTTTGCAAAAGATAGGTGAGAGATTAGAAAAAAAAACAGCGGCAGGGCAGGCTACTTGTGAACAAATCAATTTTTCCCCTCTTATCGGTCTCAACAAAGTGTTTCCGACTCGTATCAACCATCCTCCTCCCCCCCGTCCATTCAATTCTCATACCTATCACAGTCCCCATCTCACACATCTCCTTCCATCACCACTTTCACGCGGCTCCTTCCAGGCAGCTTCCGCCACCAAATGACGGACGGGTGGGGCCTGTCAACATACAACCGATCGCTGCTGGTTGGCTCCGATGGCACCTCCAACATCTACTTCATCAGCGCTACTTCCTTCAAAAGTACGCGTATGATCAGGTCACAAAAGTGCAACAAGCTTCATGGTAGGTTGTGGAAGGGGCCACCAAATGAGTGATGGGAGGGGCCTGTTAGCGTACGACCAGTCGCTGCTGGTTGGCTCCGATGGCACCTCCTACATCTACTTCATCAGCGCAACCACCTCCAAAGTAGGTCATGGAAATGGATCCGAGCTACACTGATGAAGTCTGAGCGGGTATGATCCCCGCAAGCCAAAACTGGTTTGTGATGTAAGGGTTTAGCGAAAGGGTTTTACAAGTTCTACTGAGCAACTTGAGTTTCTAGTTTCGATCCTAGTGTTGCTGTAAGCGTTTTCCAATCTTCAAAATTGCAGCTCTTCAGCTATGAGTGAAGCTCCTACATGTACTTCATCAGCGCAATCACCTCCAAAGTAGGTCATGGAAATGAGTTATACAAGTGACGGATGGCGGCACTCCTCCTACCCCCCTCCAACCCCTCCTGTTCTCCTCTCCCTTCCCCCACCCATCTCAGCGCTGCACAAGGTACATGGAAGGTGACGGAAGGTGGAACGCCCATGGATCAACGAGCAGCTTCACCCACACCACACGGCTTCCCTCTTCCTGATCCTTATTCCAACCCCCCCACCTTCTTCCCCCCTCCCCCTCTTCCACCCATGACAGCACTGCACAAGGTGAAGGTGATGGATGGTGGCGCACCTATAGAGTGGATCAACGAGCCGGAAGTGCGGGATGATGATGGTAGCAGCAGCCCGATGGTGGGAGCAGCCCCACCCCCACTTCTCCCCCGCCTGTCCTGCCTCCTCCACCCGCTCCCGTTTGCCTTTCTCCCCCTCAATCCCCCACCCATGACAGCGCTGCACAAGGTGAAGGTGACGGATGGCGGCACGCCTATCGTGTGGATCAACGATGCGAACAGCCCCCCCCTCCCCCCCCCCTGTCCTGCCTCCAACTGCTCCCGTTTGCCTTTCTCCACCCATCTCAGCACTACACAAGGTGAAGGTGACGGATGGCGGCACGCCCATAGCGTGGATCAACGAGCTGGAAGTGCGGGGTGGGCGTATCTATGCCAACGTGTGGCAGGTGAGAAAGGGGGGGGAGGAAGGTGTGAGAGGGAAGGGACATGCGTGCATGATGGTGCATGGAAGTGTTGCAAGGGGTGGGTGGGTGGGTGGCGCTGGTGGCATCAACGAGCTGGAAGTGCGGGGTGGGCGTATCTATGCCAGCGTGTGGCAGGTGCGAGGGGAGGGGGGGGGGGGAGGTGTGAGAGGAAAGGAGCACACGTGCATGATGGTGGATGGGAGTGCTGCAAGGGTGGGTGGGTGGGTGTCACTGGTGGCATCAACGAGCTGGAAGTATGGGGTGGGCGTATCTATGCCAATGTGTGGCAGGTGCGAAAGGAGGGGGGAGGAAAGTGGGAGGTGAGTGGAGGACTTGACATGCATGCAAGGTGGTGGGGGCTGCCAGTTTTTACCCGTTTCATCCATGTTCCAGTGGCCAACACTGGATCTCGTCCACATAGACATGCACTTGCCAACACTGGATCTCATCCTATGGGCACATCTAGTGTTGGCCAGTGCATGGCTTGTGGCCTCTCCTCCTGCATCTTTCAATCCCCACCCCTACGCCATCCCTCTCCCACCCATCTGTCAAACCTTCCCCACTCCCTCCCCTTCTTCCCCTTTCCTCCCATCCACTCCTCCCGCACTCTGCTCTCGTTCGGCCCTCTGCCCCAGACGGATTGCATTGCTGTGATCGACCCGCTGTCAGGGCGAGTGGCTGCCTGGATGGACCTGCAACGCCTGCGGTGAGATTGCTTGCTGCATGCTGTGAGGTTGTGTGGGAATTGTAGGGCGTGCACTTGTGTGTGAAGTGAAGGGTGTCAGGGCGAGTGGCTGCCTGGATGGACCTGCAACGCCTGCGGTGAGTGCTGGTTGGTGCGTGCTGTGCTGTCCATCTGGTCAGTGCCTGGATGGACTGACAGAACGGCAGAACCAACCTGGACTGCTACATGGCTACCAGCTTGGGTCGTTGGGTGGGTCAAGTGCTGCGCGCAGTCTGGTTTCTCTGTAACCACTCCCTTCCTTTCTTCGCCCTCTCTCAAACTCTCACTCTCCCCTCACGTCTCAGCGCTCTAGCAGCGGCCAAGGTGAAGGCCAATCAGGAGTTTGACGTGCAATTCAGCTAATCAAACCTTGAAATCCCTGCGCACCCTCCCTCCCTCCCCCACTCCCCACTGCACTCGTTCCCCTCTCTATTTCCTCTCTCGGGGCTCTAGCAGCAGGCAAGGTGAAGGCCAATCAGGATTTTGACGTGCAATTCAGCTTATCAAACCTTGAAATCCCTGCGCCACCTCCCTCCCTCCCCCACTCCCCTCTGCACTCGTTCCCCTCTCTGTTTCCTCGCTCAGGGCGCTAGCAGCAGTCAAGGTGAAGGCCAATCAGGAGCTTGACGTGCAATTCAGCTTATCAAACCTTGAAATCCCTGCGCCACCTCCCTCCCTCCCCCACTCCCCTCTGCACTCGTTCCCCTCTCTGTTTCCTCGCTCAGGGCGCTAGCAGCAGTCAAGGTGAAGGCCAATCAGGAGTTTGACGTGCAATTCAGCTAATCAAACCTTGGAATTCCTGCGCCCCCTCCCTCCCTCCCTCACTCCCCACTGCACTCGTTCCCCCCGTTCCCCCCTCCCCTCTCTTTTTTCCAACATCTCTCCCGCCTCCCTTCCTCGTGCATCAGGGCGCTAGCAGCAGCCAAGGTGAAGGCCAACCAGGAGTTTGACGTGCTGAACGGCATTGCATGGGATGCACAACAGAGACGCCTCTTTGGTACGGCCATTGCATGGATTGGTTCCCGTTCCACTTCCCATGGCTCTTTGATACGACTCAAAAGCCACTTTGGTTTTTCTCTCCTTGGCCCTTTGAGACGACTCAAAAGCCACTTTGGTTCCACTCGACATGGCCCTATGCCCACACGCTTCCGAATCCCCTCCCACCCTCGCCCGCTCTCTCATCAGTCAACTATCATTCGCAGTCGTGGCCGAGTGATCATGCTTTGTCTCCTTTGGTTTTTGCACCACCAGTATTGTCCCCACCAATTTCACCTTACCATTGCCCACCTGTCCATCTAAGCCTCAAGTGTCTCACCCTAATGCAATTATTCCCTTGTGCCTTAACCCTCGCCATATCCTTGTTATGTTGTCTGCGACACTCTGTTTGCAGTTACAGGAAAATACTGGCCTCTGGTGTTCCAGATCGCCCCCAAGACTATCACAGGATCAACTCCTGATGACGTGGCAGCCATTCGGCTGAGGTGCCACCCACAGGTGTACAGGAGATGATACCGTACGAGTTTTGAGGCGTCTCAACAAAAACCGTATGAGACGCGCTACCCAGTTCATGGTCGCGTGTGGAACTGAAATCAGAGGTGCCGCCTCTAGGTGTACAGGAAATGAGACGTGCCACTCTAACGTGTTATAATGTCATTCATGGTGGCTGTGTGCTGAAGAAATTGTGCTGCCCATATGTGTTTGTTGTACGCATGTGGCGGATAATACGTGTGGCTCATATGTATTTGTTGAATTCATGTGGAGGAGTGGGGACAACTGTTTGTGTAAATCTATGGGACACCACATCCATTTATTCAGGGAAATGGCAGTACTATAAGCTTTAAGAATGTAAGAATGAAGTGCAGTAGCGTGTGTCTAGTAACGGATTCTTTAAAACAACTCACATCGCAACGGGAAAGTACACCGAATCCTCGTGCTGATGACGACAGGTCAGTTCAAATTTGACAACGAGGCAAACACTTCGAGAATACCGTACTATCAGCTAGCTAATTTCTTCTGAACCTGGCATTCTTCCCTAAAGACTGACGTATCATTCCTCAGGAATATCTGGCTGATACACGAGCAGTCGTCCTTGCATACAAACCTTCAGTACACCGTTTTCATTCTGTCAATGCGCTCCGCGGCGTGCGCGACGTCCCATTATCACTAGCGAATTTGACGGCCCGATGGGCTCGCTGCTATCGAGGCTGCTCGCCAGCCGTCCGATGGCCGCCGCTGGCCCCACGATGGTCGTGAAAGACCTCGTTCTGATCGGCGGAGGTCACAGGTGCGCTTTCGTAGAAGCTTCTCGGCATGGCCTCATATTCATTTTCATTCTGCAAGAGCACTCTAGAGTCGTCTTTCCACTTCTCCCGGAGCACCCTTACGTAACCTCCTTGATCACAGCGCATCCCAGATCATCCCAGCGCATCCCAGATCATCCCAGCGCATCCCAGATCATCCCAGCGCATCTCAGAGCAACGCTTTCTTTATTCTCTCTCCTTCTCACTCTCGTCTCTCCATCCTCCCCGTCCCTCCTTCCTTCCACCAAACCGTGCTGCATGCTGGCAGCCACGTGGTGGTGCTCAAAAGCTTCGCCATGAAGAACAGTGGTCCCCCTCCCCCCCCCCCCCCCCCCCGCCATGGTTGCTCTCCCCTCCCCCTCCCCTTTCCCCTCCCCGCCATGCGCGTTCTCCCCTCCCCCTTCCCCTCCCCACATGCAGCCACGTGGTGGTGCTCAAGAGCTTCGCCATGAAGCCGATGCCAGGTGTCAGGCTCACATTGGTCACGAGAGACGTGCACACGCCCTACAGCGGCATGCTGCCAGGCTTCGTTGCGGGTGAGACAATCCCTGCACTGCATTACACTGCATTGCACTGCATTGCACCACATTCCAACCATCCAGGCCACTACACGTACGACGAGTGTCACATTGACCTGCGCCCCTTGGCCCAACTCTCCAACGCCCGCCTGCTGCTAGTCTAATCCCGTTCCCTCCCACACTGCATTACACCGCACTGCACCGCCCATCCAGGCCACTACACGTACGACGACTGTCACATCGACCTGCGTCCCTTGGCCCAACTCACCAACGCCCGCCTGCTGCACTGCTGCGCTTCTGGCATTGACTTGCATCAGCGCGCTGTGGTGCTGGCAGATGGGCGTCCTCCTATCCACTACGACATACTTTCAATCGATATTGGGATCACACCATTGGTAAGCCATTGCATCAATCGCCGGTATCACTAGACTCAGAACCACACTGAACTCCTTGGTTGATTACCACTGCTGCCCTGCTGTGCGTCGGGCCTTGACCTGGAGCAGCGAGCAGCGACCTGGTGCTGGCAGTTGGCCACACTGATGTGCTGTCGATTGATTCACGCCACTGGTAATCACACTGAGCTCCCTCGGAACCACACCCGACTCTTCCCTTTCTCCCCCCGTTCTCCCCCCGTTCTCCCCCCGTTCTCCCCCCGTTCTCCCCCCGTTCTCCCCCCGTTCTCCCTCCTTCTCCCCTTTTTCTCCCCCTTCCCTTCCCCTTACTCCCCCTTCCCTTCCCCATACTCCCCCCTTCCTCCCCCCCTCTCTCTCCATGCGAGCAGCAATCAGTGCCAGGCGCGAAAGAGCTCACGCTTCCAGTGAAGCCCATCGACTCCTTCACTGAACGCTGGGAGGCCCTACGGTCCCGCATCCTCTCGCTCGCCCCTGTGAGTTGCGCTGTGGGGGGGCATGGGTTCAAAGGTGCACCTATGCCCTCCATAGTTTTGAGTCGACTCAAAACTGCGCTGTGGGGGGGCATGGGTTCAAAGGTGCACCTATGCCCTCCATAGTTTTGAGTCGACTCAAAACTGCGCTGTGGGGGGGCATGGGTTCAAAGGTGCACCTATGCCCTCCATAGTTTTGAGTCGACTCAAAACTGCGCTGTGGGGGGGCATGGGTTCAAAGGTGCACCTATGCCCTCCATAGTTTTGAGTCGACTCAAAACTGCGCTGTGGGGGGGCATGGGTTCAAAGGTGCACCTATGCCCTCCATAGTTTTGAGTCGACTCAAAACTGCGCTGTGGGGGGGCATGGGTTCAAAGGTGCACCTATGCCCTCCATTCCATACCCCGCCCGCCTCCCCTCCAAACCCAATCCTACCACTCTCCGTTCATTCTTTTTGAACCCCATGGCTTGAGTGTGTGTGTGGTTGTGATGGGAGGGGGAGCGGAAATAATGGAGCATCCCTCATTCGTGCCATGTTCCCTTCTCACCCCCTCAAACCCAACCCCACCGTCACCACCCTCTCCCAGGGCTCCAGCGTGCGAGTGGTGGCGGTGGGAGGGGGAGCAGGGGGAGTGGAACTGCTTTTGGCCATGCAGCATCGACTGCAGCAGGACTGCCTGGTAACCAGATAGTGGTAACCAGCAACTAGTAACCTGGTAGTGTCCAGCTAGCGGTAACCAGCCATGGTAACCTGGTAGCCATCTTTTGATAAGTATGGATGATATGAGCTGCTTCTGGCCATGCAGCATCGACTGCAGCAGGACTGCCTTGTAACCAGATAGTGGGAACCAGCTGGGGGTAACCAGCTTTGATTTTGCAGCTAGACTTTGAAGATTCTGCCTTTGCTGCCTCAGCCTTTAGGCAGAATTCAATTAGGGCCTTCAAGAGCTGTTCATGTTTCTGTTTGTTCTTGTTATACTAAAATTTGTACCTTTGCAAAGTTCTCCGTGTTTTTTTTTTTTTTTTTTTTTTTTTGGGCGGGGGTTTTTTTTTGGGTTTATTTTTCGTATGTATGTATGTACAGAAAAGCCAGGTGTATGCCTCTTTTGTGCTTATAACGAGGGGGGATCTGCTGCCCACCCACAACGCACACGTGCGATCGATTGTCCGACGGATTCTGAAGGAGAGAAGTGAGTGAGGGAGGGGTGGAGGAGGTGTGTGGGTGGAGTGAGGGAGAGGAGTGAGGGAGAGAAGTGAGGGAGAGGAGTGAGGGAAATGTATGATGGACATTAACGAGGGAGAGGTTTGAAGGTGTATGATGCGGTAATATCTTGGGTTCTTAAGAAGTGTATTACCTTCAGAGGCTCTTAAAATTGTAAATGTTTGAAGAAGTGTTTTGAGACGTCTCTGAAGAAGTGTTTTGAGACGTCTCAAAACACTCCTTCAGAGGCTCTTAAAATTGTAAATGACCACCTTCTATCCAGCCAGTCACCACCATACACAGTATGAAGTATAAACATCTAACTTATTTAATCCTATTCACTTGCCACCCCACGTTTGTGCAACCATGACTGAATGAACCAGGTGTGAAGGTGCTCGATGCTGCAGTGGTGGCAGTGAGACATCGAGGAGTGGAGAGCGGTGGGGAGAGGCGCGATGGGGAGAAAAGGGATGGGGCGGAAGGGGAGGCTAGCAGGGGAAGCAGCAGTGGGGCGGGTGGAGGGGAAGAAAGAGAGTCTGCTTCGGAAAGGCCGGAAGCACAAGAAGGGGCTCAAGAAGGGCCCACAGTGCAAGGAGGGATGCTTGTTCTGGACGGAGGAGAGGAGGTGGAGTTTGACGAGTGTGTGTGGTGCACGCAGGTGGGTGTGGTAGTGCAGGCAGGTGGGTGTGCAATGCAGTTAGGAGGGGTTGTCTTACGTGCGTGAGGGCCGGAAGCACAATGGTGGGCAGTGCAAGGAGGGATGCTTGTTCTGGACGGGGGAGAGGAGATGGAGTTTGACGAGTGTGTGTGGTGTACGCAGGTGCGTGTGTGTGATAGTGCAGGTTTCATCAGAGTGGCATATTTGCTCGAGCCTATCTATATCCACCGTACAGGTGTGTTTGCAGGGAGTCACTTTTTGAGAATTCTCAAAAGGGTGGAGAAGAAAAACAGCCACTCTTCTTCTCTCTTCTGAGTCGACTCAAAAGTCAACTCGGTCGAGACTCAAAAGAAAACTTTTGAGAATTCTCAAAAGGGTGGAGAAGAAAAACAGCCACTCTTCTTCTCTCTTCTGAGTCGACTCAAAAGTCAACTCGGTCGAGACTCAAAAGAAAACTTTTGAGAATTCTCAAAAGGGTGGAGAAGAAAAACAGCCACTCTTCTTCTCTCTTCTGTCCGTTCCACACCACCCCACTGATCCCTCCCCTCCCAGGGCGGAGCAGCCTCGTGGCTTGGCCAAACGGGCCTAGCGCTAGACAATAATGGTTTTATTCGAGTGGGGGATACACTGGAGTCGATCAGCCATAAAGGGGTGTTCGCAGCAGGGGACATACACTCGTCCGACGTTTACCCACGGCCCAAGGCGGGCGTGTTTGCAGTGCGGCAGGGCATGCCTTTGGCTGAAAACTTGAGGAGGGCGCTTCTGGACCAGCCTTTGAAACCCTTCCGACCACAGAAAACCTTTCTGAGCCTCATCAGGTGTGGTGTTTTATATGCATGTGTATGTGTGACCGATGTCGATTCCAAGGCAGGCGTTTTTGCAGTGCGGCACGGCATGCCCCTAGCCTTTTTGCAGTAGGGAGATATCCATTAACCCTCTGTGCCTCTGTTCCACTCCTCCTCTATGCTTCTTACTCACCCTCTCGCTCTCTCACTCTCTCGAATGGTCCTTGCATTAAGTATGGGGTTGTACAAAGGAAGATGCAAGCACATGCGCAACAACAAACAACACACCGGTATCCCATCTACCACTCGTCCCCTACCCACTCCCGCCCCTTTCTGTCCGACCCTATTGGTCGAACGGGGGCTCGATCAACTGGTGCAGCTGCCCCTCTCACTCTCTCACTCTCTCACTCTCCGTCTCACACCCTTGCCACCGTTCCTTCGCTCGCAGCACCGGTGACAAGTACGCAGTCTTCTCTCGAGGCTCTTTGGCTTTTGAAGACAGGCTTATGTGGACGCTCAAGGTGAGAGCTGCTGCGCTTCTAACAAGAAAACGAGCACAGTTGAAATGAAGCTTTTGAATTTCACCATTTCACCGCACAGTACCGCATTGACCTTGCCTTCGTAAGCAATTCAGCCAACTTCCCGCCATGCCACCACGCTTTAAGGCACCTCGCAAATGTTCCACACACACAAACAAATACCCCATTAACCCCCCCCCTTTAACCTTCCCACCACTCAGGACCGCATAGACCGGGCCTTCATGCGGCAGTTCAACCAGCTGCCCGCCATGCCATCTCCCCTTGAGGCACTTTAAACACCATCCACACACATCCCTCTACCCTCTCACCCCAAACCTCCCAACTCCTCAGGACCGCATTGATCGAGCCTTCATGCGGCAGTTCAACCAGCTGCCCGCCATGCCATCGCCTCCTCTCCCCACCATCCCAGTCGCACACGCAGCCGGGCCTGAAGCATTGCTGGCACTCAAAAGCACGCCCATGCGTTGTGGGGGGTGCGGCTCCAAGGTAAGGCGTGTGTGTATAGGTCGGCGTGTAAGTCCCTGCCATGCCATCGCCCCCTCTCCCCGTTATCCCCGTCGCACACACGGCGGGGACTGAAGCGCTCCTGGCACTCAAAGCATGCCCATGCGCTGTGGGGGTGCGGCTCCAAGGTAAGGCGTGTGTGTGCTCCAAGATGGGATGTGGGCTGCCTCTAAGGTGAGGCGCTACGAGCTCTTTGGTTCCAGCCGTCTTCATCGCCCCCTCTCCCCGTTATCCCCGTCGCACACACGGCGGGGACTGAAGCGCTCCTCGCACTCAAAAGCATGCCCATGCGCTGTGGAGGGTGCGGCTCCAAGGTGAGAGGAGACATATATCCCCACACCACACCACACCACACAACGTGTTCTCTCGTCTCATATCATCCCTCGACTCGCACCGTGCTCCTGACCCACCACCCATCCATCTGCTGTCCTTACTCTTATCTGCCCTTCCCCCCTCCCACCGTTACTCCCACCAGGTCGGCTCGTCCCTTCTCTCCCGCGTCCTCACTCGTCTCGCCGCCCTCCCCAGCCGCCCACCTGGCCGCCCGGAAATCCTCCTGGGGCTTGACTCACCTGACGACGCCGCTGTGCTAGCGATTTCACCTGACAGCACGGGCGACAGACAGGTGCGAATGTGGAATTTCTCCTGGTTAGTCGCCTGATCACCTGATGCTGCTGCCATGCTGGGTGTTTACACCTGAGAATAAGGCCAGCTTTCAAGTATGCGAATTCACCTGACGACGCTGCTATGCTGGCCAGAACACCTGACAGCATGGCCGGGAGTCAGGTATGCATCTGGAAAATCTCCTGGGCTGGATGGACTCACCTGGCTGGCAATGCTACCTGACAAATCGACTTGACACGGTGGTCTTTTATCTCTGAAACATGCTCTGAAATCGACCTGTTTTCTAAATCGACCTGTTTTCTAAACCCTTTTTCCCAATCGCCCTTCTCCCATCCGCCATCTCCCATTCCCCCCCTCCCCGCCCTAAAAGCAGTGTGTTTTCGCCCTCCACTCTCCACTCTCCGCTCTCCACTCTCCACTCTCCCCCACTCCCACCAGAACCCAGTCCAGGTCACATCTCCACCCTCCACGCCCCGCCTGTTGTGTGCTTTCCCCTTCCACGCTCACTTATCCTTGTATCTCCCTTCTCCCCCTCTGCGAACCACGAGAGAACCCAGCCGTGGTCCTGACGGTTGATTCCTTTCGCTCCTTCCTTTCCAATCCGCACACCTTCGGTCGCATCGCTGCCCTCCACGCCCTAAATAGCTGTGTGCTTTTCCCCAACCACTCTTCCATCTTCCCCGCTCTCCCACCAGAACCCAGTCGTGGTCCAAACGGTCGACTGCTTCCTCTCCTTCCTCTCCGATCCACACACCTTAGGTCGTATTGCGAACCCCTACGCCCGAACTGTTGTGTGCTTTCCCCCTCCACTCTCCCTTATCCGTTTCTTCCTTCTCCCCGTCTGTGAACCACCAGAACCCAGTCATAGTTCAGACTGTCGACTTCTTCCGTTCCTTTCTCTCCGATCCACACACCTTTGGTCGCATCGCTGCCCTCCATGCCTTGAGCGACTGCTTTGCGATGGGTGCTGATCCTGTCTCTGCGCTCGCTATAGTCACACTGCCCTATGGCACAGAGGAGAAGGTGAGAGAGCTGTCATTCTGTTGTCATTAGCCCCCGTTATCACCCTCCCTCCATCCCCTTAACTCCTCCCCACCCCCTCACACCCCTCCTAACCCCGACTCCTCTCTTTCCTGCCCCTTTCTCCCTCTCATCAGATGGAGGAGGAGCTTTTCCAGCTCATGGCAGGGGCCATCCGCGAATTGGATGCTGCCACGTGTCAGCTGGTGGGAGGGCACACAGTGGAGGGCGCTGAGCTGTCGCTGGGGTTTGCTGTCACGGGATTGGCTGACAGAGACAGGTTTTTGAGAAAGGTACATGAGGACTCTTACTCTTACTAATATCATTAGCTGGGAGTTCATCAGGCTTGCTGGGGTTCGCAACTCTGAAAAAAAAAAAAAAAAAAAAAAAAAAGTTTTGAGTCGACTCAAAACCAACTACCATGCCAGCCTGATTGCAACCTTATTGATTTTGGTGAGGGGATCCGGGCTGGCGAGGTTGTTGTGATTTGACTCAAAATAGTGGGAAGTGGTGGAGAGGGGAGATACAAGCTGCTGAGTAAAGTAGTTCATGATTCTGTCAGGCAATTTGTACCCTGCTTACAAGCTGCTTCTCATCCCCTCTCTCACCCCGTGCCCGCCCCTCTCTCACCCCGTGCTCGCCCCTCTCTCACCCCGTGCCCGCCCCTCTCTCACCCCATGTAGGCGGGCATGTGTGCAGGAGATGCAATCATCCTCACCAAGCCCATCGGCACAGGAGTCATCTTTGCAGCCAACATGCGATGCAAGGCCAAGGTGGGACGGCAGGATGGCATCTCCGGTCTGAGGCGTAGGTTTCAGGGTTCGCAATCAATGCTCTTCTTTTCTCAGCTCAAAACTTGTACCAAGAGCACATCCTTTCACTACAGAAATCACAATCTAATATGACTTCAACAGCTTTTTGGTCAGCCTGGTTTTTTCCGAAGAGGTGCGCCCTTGCCCAGCTCACAAGCAGATCCAACTCTCAATAGCTCTCTGGGCGACTTTCCCAGCCCTAGTAGGCCTAGACCTCCCTTAGCCCTGCTCTTTTGCTTGAATATTGCAGTGCCCCTCACTGTCCCTGAGGGGTGTGCGTTCTATTTATCTCCCTATGAGATGGTTTTTGAGAATTCTCAAAAACCAACTCTATTTATCTCCCTATGCATGCCCCTCCTATCCTCCCACACCCCTCAGGGACGGTGGATGGATGGGGCGATCGATAGCATGCTCGTGTCTAATCAGGTGAGTCAGGAAAGGGACTGACGCCTCTGTTGCTTCAAGTATTGGGACATCTTATAATGGTATAGAATGCGCTAATTCTTAGGCTGGATCTGTCATTCCTCTTCATGCTTTTTCAGGCTTCAAGACTAAGAACGAATAGCCGTATAAATAGCATGGCAGCACGGCACTATCACTACCCTCCTCGGCACTATCACTACCGTCCTCGGCACTATCACTACCCTCCTCGGCACTATCACTACCCTCCTCGGCACTATCACTACCCTCCTCGGCACTATCACTACCCTCCTCGGCACTATCACTACCCTCCTCGGCACTATCACTACCCTCCTCGGCACTATCACTACCCTCCTCGGCACTATCACTACCCTCCTCGGCACTATCACTACCCTCCTCGGCACTATCACTACCCTCCTCGGCACTATCACTACCCTCCTCGGCACTATCACTACCCTCCTCGGCACTATCACTACCCTCCTCGGCACTATCACTACCCTCCTCGGCACTATCACTACCCTCCTCGGCACTATCACTACCCTCCTCGGCACTATCACTACCCTCCTCGGCACTATCACTACCCTCCTCGGCACTATCACTACCCTCCTCGGCACTATCACTACCCTCCTCGGCACTATCACTACCCTCCTCGGCACTATCACTACCCTCCTCGGCACTATCACTACCCTCCTCGGCACTATCACTACCCTCCTCGGCACTATCACTACCCTCCTCGGCACTATCACTACCCTCCTCGGCACTATCACTACCCTCCTCGGCACTATCACTACCCTCCTCGGCACTATCACTACCCTCCTCGGCACTATCACTACCCTCCTCGGCACTATCACTACCCTCCTCGGCACTATCACTACCCTCCTCGGCACTATCACTACCCTCCTCGGCACTATCACTACCCTCCTCGGCACTATCACTACCCTCCTCGGCACTATCACTACCCTCCTCGGCACTATCACTACCCTCCTCGGCACTATCACTACCCTCCTCGGCACTATCACTACCCTCCTCGGCACTATCACTACCCTCCTCGGCACTATCACTACCCTCCTCGGCACTATCACTACCCTCCTCGGCACTATCACTACCCTCCTCGGCACTATCACTACCCTCCTCGGCACTATCACTACCCTCCTCGGCACTATCACTACCCTCCTCGGCACTATCACTACCCTCCTCGGCACTATCACTACCCTCCTCGGCACTATCACTACCCTCCTCGGCACTATCACTACCCTCCTCGGCACTATCACTACCCTCCTCGGCACTATCACTACCCTCCTCGGCACTATCACTACCCTCCTCGGCACTATCACTACCCTCCTCGGCACTATCACTACCCTCCTCGGCACTATCACTACCCTCCTCGGCACTATCACTACCCTCCTCGGCACTATCACTACCCTCCTCGGCACTATCACTACCCTCCTCGGCACTATCACTACCCTCCTCGGCACTATCACTACCCTCCTCGGCACTATCACTACCCTCCTCGGCACTATCACTACCCTCCTCGGCACTATCACTACCCTCCTCGGCACTATCACTACCCTCCTCGGCACTATCACTACCCTCCTCGGCACTATCACTACCCTCCTCGGCACTATCACTACCCTCCTCGGCACTATCACTACCCTCCTCGGCACTATAGCTGCCACCATCATTACCACCCTATCGCCTCCGCTCTTCCCTTCCCTTCCCTTTCAACCCATCCGCTCCGTCACCTTCCTTCCCCTCTTCTCCCCTACCCATTACAACTTCCAAACCCCCCTCCCACCTCCCCCTTCCCCCACCCTCAACCACCCATTGCCAACGCCACCAGAAAGCAGCGGCCATTGCATTGCAGCACGGCGCCTCTGCTGCTACTGATGTCACGGGGTTTGGCTTACTAGGTGAGTTCAGTGAGCAACGAGTTTTGAGATGCTTCTTGAGTCTAAAGGTGATTGAGTCAACTCAAAAGCGCAGCACGGCGCCTCTGCGGCTACTGATGTCACAGGGTTTGGCTTACTAGGTGGGTTCACCCAGCAGTGAGTTTTGAGGTGTCTCGATCCGATGAATATACCATGCCATGCCGTGCAATGCCATGTCTTACCATGTGCATATTGCGATGTGTGAATGTGACATGTCTTGCTCGTGTGATGTCATATTGTGAAGTTACAACCCATGCCTTGCCCTGTGTGTGTGCCATGTCTTACCCATGCCTTGCCCATGTCTTGCCCATGTCTTGCCCATGTCTTGCCCATGTCTTGCCCATGTCTTGCCCATGTCTTGCCCATGTCTTGCCCATGTCTTGCCCATGTCTTGCCCATGTCTTGCCCATGTCTTACCCATGTCTTGCCCATGTCTTGCCCATGTCTTGCCCATGTCTTGCCCATGTCTTGCCCATGTCTTGCCCATGTCTTGCCCATGCCTTGCCCATGTCTTGCCCATGTCTTGCCCATGCCTTGCCCATGCCTTGCCCATGTCTTGCCCATGCCTTGCCCATGTCTTGCCCATGTCTTGCCCATGCCTTGCCCATGTCTTACCCGTGTCTTGCCCATGTCTTACCCATGTCTTGCCCATGTCTTGCCCATGTCTTGCCCATGTCTTGCCCATGTCTTGCCCATGTCTTGCCCATGTCTTGCCCATGCCTTACCCATGTCTTACCCATGCCTTGCCCATGCCTTACCCATGTCTTACCCATGCCATGCCATCAACAGGTCATCTGGTTGAAATGACTAGAGCATCTCAAGTTACCGTCATGGTCGACCCATCCACAATTCCCATTCTGGTAACCACCTGTAAACCTGGTAACCATCTGCACACCAGGTGGTAACCACCTGCACACCTGATAACCACTTGCACACCTAGAGATGAGCCTAAGGCACGAAATCTCATGAGATTGGGACATCTCAAGTCTAACCTCAACCTCACCGTCCCCTCCTCTCTGTAGGACGGTGCAATGGAGTGTGTGGAGGAGGGCATTTTCAGCTCCCTGCAGGACTCGAACCTGCGCCTTCGACGAGCAATCACCAACTACGACGAGGTGAGGGGGAAGAAGGAGAGCGGTACATCGGAATAAGGTCAAGCATTTGACTAGCATCTGATCTGACTGCACTATTATATCCGGAAACTTACACACACTCAAACCCCCTTCCTTACCCCTCCCCCACCCCTCCCCTCCCCTCCCCTCCCCACCTTGTCTAGGCATCCGCCCATCCCCTCACACCACTTCTGTTCGACCCGCAAACAGCCGGAGGTCTCCTTCTTTCCGTTCCCCAAGCCACAGCCACTCAGTGCTTGCTTTCTCTGCAAAGAGAGGGGTACCCTGCTGCTGCTGTGATTGGTCGGGTGGTATCGTCTTTAACAGGAGAGGCTTGCGAGGATGCATCTGTAACAATAGAATGCAGGCAGTAAAAATTGGCATGCACAGAACATAATGTGTTCACTAAGGGTGCATTCCTGTGTGGACATTTGTGTCTCAATCACTTTGTGACACCCAAAAACAGCATAAACTATATTGTGTCCCAAATGCGAGTCGCGTTTCAGCGACCAGTACTATATTTTTTATTGGCCAGCGTGAAACGCGCTGACGTTGCTGACCCGTCACTGTTAAAATTTCGCACGCGGCTCGAAATGCTCGACATGACCACATGCACTAGGACACCCCACAATCCCAATTTCGCGAGGGAATAAATCCCGCACATCGATTTTGCTGCTCTGGTCGCCTGGTCACCCCTGTAACCCAATCAAATTCGCACAACTGTACATTTGGCCTGGTCGCCTAGCGTCGCAATACATTCAATTTTTGAGATGTGAGGTTGACAAAATGTTTAGACGCGACTCGGAAAAACAAGGGCATTGAGACATTAGTGTCCACACAGGAATGCACCCTTAGTTTGCATGCAAGCACTGCACACGCAGGGGTACCCTGCTGCTGCTGTGACTGGTCGGGTGCTTTCGAATCAACAGGAGATGCTTGTGGGGATCTGCCTGTTACAAGACAACGCGGCCAGTAAAACCGACCCTGGTTTTGAGTCGACTCAAATTCGACCAGTGCATACTGCTGAAATTGCTCATGCTGTACACTACAGTACTGTAGAATGCAGCCAGTAAAAATCGGAGCATCATCTAGCACAGAAAGATACAACAATGTTGCACAGGGAAGAGATACGGTACAGTGAAGCAAACACTAGAGACATAGCGGAAATATATGGCCTGCAGTGGAAAGAAAAAATAATAATGGCGTAGCGGTGGGGGCGGTAGCAGAAGATGGGTTTTCTTCAAGCAGTGGCAGAGGCAGCATCAGCAGGAAGAGGGACAGGGCATTAGCGGCAGCAGAAGCAGCCACAGGGAAGGAGGTTGAAGGCTGGACTTGTTTAGAGCCAACAGGCGGTACGAGCGCTTCTACTGAGTGTGCTTTTGAAGTGCCTCAAAAGTTTCAGGAAGGGAGGTCGAGGTTAGGACTTGTTTAGAGCCCACAGGCGGTAGGAGTGCTGCTACTGAGTGTGTGGCAGATGAGGGGACAGATGAAGGGAGAGACGAGGGGACAGATGAGGGGACAGTCGCGGGGGTTTGCGAGGTGGCGTGGGGAGTGTTTGCAGGAGCGTGAGGGGCAGAAACAGTGGCATTCCTTACTGTTGGAGCGGGCTAAGCAGTAGAAGCAGGCTTAGCAGGTGGAGCAGGCTTAGCAGTAGAAATAGGCTTAGCAGCAGGAGCAGCCTTAACAGTAGGAGCGGGATTGACAGAAGGAGCAGGGTTAGCTCTAGGGGCGGGTTTAGCAGTAGGAATGGGACAAGCGGGGCAGTCTTGCGTGAGTTGCGATTGAGAGCTAGAGTGAGAAGCATTAGCAGGAGTGTGATGAGCAGGCTGGTTTGCTGTGAGGTGAGAGATTCGATGGTGAGTGTGTAGTGTCTGCTGAGTGTGGTGAGTGTGGTGATTGTTCGAGTGTATTGTGCTGGCAGCCTTGGCAGTGGTTGGGCGACGAGGGGGAATGATGTGCAGCTTCACGGGTCCTCCTCCTCCCCCTCCTGCTGCTGCTGTGGCTTTTGGCACTGCTCCCGTTGTTGCTCTTGCTGCTGCTGTTGTTGTTGCTCTTGCTGCTGCTGTCGTTGTTGCTCTTGCTGCTGTTGTTGTTGCGGTTACTGTAGCCTTTGGTGCGGCTCCTGTTGCTGCTTCTGCTGCTTTTGTCGTAGATCCTGTTGATACCACTACTGCTCTTGATGCTGCCCCCGTCGCTGCTCCCATTGCTCTTGGCGATGCTGCCTTTGCGGCTGTGATTGCGTTTGGTGGTGCTCCTATCGCTGCAGCTGTTGCTATTGGTGCTGCTGCTCCCGTTGCTGCTGACGCTGCTAGTGCTCCTGGTGCTGCTGAAGCTGCTAGTGCTCCCGTTGCTGCTGACGCTGCTAGTGCTCCTGGTGCTGCTGTTCCTGCTGTTGTTCTCGCCACTCCTGTCGCTGCCCCAGCTGCTCCTGCTGCTCCTGCTGCCCCAGCTGTTCTCGCTGCTGCAACATCCACTGGAGAGGATATGCGAGTCCTTGCTTGCGTCGCCTTGTCACTCCCTGCGCCCATCGTCCCTCCAGCTGGTCCCCTGCCTCTCGCTGCTGCTGGGGCTGATTCTGCTGCTGGAACTGTTACTGCTGTTGCTGTTGCCCTTGGTGCTGCCACTGCCACTCCTGCTGCTGTTCCTGCTACAGCTGCTCCTGCTACAGCTGCTCCTGCTACTCCAGCTGCAACATCTCCTGGTGAGGTTAAGCGAGTCGTTGCTTGAATCGCCTTGTCACTGCCTGCTGCCCTTGTCCCACCTGCTGCTGCGCTGCCACTCGCTGTTGTTGAGGCTGATTCTTTTGCAGGGACTGCTACTGCTGTTGCTCTAGGTGCTGCCACCCCCGCTCCTGCTCCAGCTGTTCCAGCTGCAACATCTGCTGGTGAGGCTACGCCAGTCGTTGCTTGAATCGCCTTGTCACTGCCTGCTGCCCTCGTCCCTCCTGCTGCTGCACTGCCTGATGCTGCCACTGCTGCCGTCCCTGCTGCTTCTGGGGCAGCTGCTGCTGCTGCTGCTGCTGCTGACGGTACTGCTGGTGCTGCAGCGGCCACTGCTGGTGTTGGTGCTGAACGTTGTGCTGCTTGCACTGTCGTTGCTGGAAATGCTGCTGCTGCCGTTGACACTGCTCTTGATGCTTGCAGCGATCCAAGTCCCGCCCACGCTGCCACAAACGGTGCCCTTGCTGCCATTGCCGATGCTGTAACTGCTGGTGCTGCTGTTGCTGATCTCGCTGCTGCTTCTGCCACTGGTACTGCTCCTCCCACTGCTGGTGATGGTGCTGCTTCTGCTGCGTCTGGGACAGCAGATGGCACATGTCCTCTTGCTCTCTTCGCCGCATTCCCTCTGCTCTACAGAGGAGACAAAAAAGAGATGACACACGGACAATAGACAGGGAAGCACAGAGCATGGAAGGGAGGAAAAGAAGAAAGATTTCAGGGAGGTAGCAGGAGGCGTGCGGCGGGAGGGGGAGGGGTAGGGAGAACTGCGTTGCGAGAAAACAAAAGAGGACGGCGCCGGAAGGTGGAATGTTGTTAATAATGTGAAGGAGGTAATGAAGAAAGGAAGGAAGGAGGGAGATGGGATGTTGGAACGCGAATCCACAAAAGGAGATGATGCACACATGTGCTTCTTGTGTCTGTTTCTGCACCTACTCAGACAGCATCACAAGCGGGAATCACCTCGAAACACTCGATGGCGGCAGTTCAGGTGCAACGGGTACACCTGAAGCTCCACCAGCAGAAGCACCTGAAGCTCCACCAGCAGAAGCTGCAGCAGGAGCAGTGGCGTCACCAGCACCACCAGCGTCACCACCACCCTTCTCCTCCTTCTCATCATCAGAATCCGACAGCAGTTCAATCACCTCTGCTTCCACTGCTTTAGCAGAGCCAGCACTCTTAGAACCAAACCTCTTAGCACCAGCACCACTCTTCCCAGCAGCATTCTTTCCCCCCCCAGTAGTAGCACCACCCCTCGTGCTCACACCGGCACCCTTTACTGTCACACTGCTACTCGCACTACCCGTCTTCTCCCTCTCTATAGTCCCACGCGTGGCCCTCCTACTCTCCACCACACCACCTCTCCCAGATGATGCTGCAGAATCGTTTGAGCCACTACCTCTTGCTCTTAGAGCAACGACAACCCCCCTACAAGCCAGTGCTACTCCTTTACCTCCCTCCTCTACGCCACTTATCACTCTTTGCTGCTGCTTCCCCTGCTGCCCCTGCCCCTGCCCCTGCCCCTGCCCCTGCTGCTGCTGCTGCTGCCCCTCCTGTTCCAGCTGCAGCCGAATCTGAGCGGCCTCTTCCTTCGGGCAGATGAAATTCACCATGCAGACGTACCTCTCAGTCTTCTTGCCCTTCCGCTGCCCTCCGCCGCTCCCCGAACCACCACTGCCAGCAGAGCCACCCGTGCTTACACCATCCTTCCCTCGCTTGCGCTCCCCCCCTTCCTTCCCATCCTTCCCTTTAACTGAAACCCCTTCAACCAGCACCTGCCGTCCTCCCCCCTCTACTCCTTCTGCTCCCCCACTCCCCGAATTACCACTACCAGCACAACCGCTGATGCTTATACCATCCTGCCCCTCCTTCCCGTCCTTTTCCTCCCCCTCTCGCTTCCCATCCTTCTCAACCTTCTCAACCTTCTCATCCTTCTCATCCTTCTCATCCTTCTCATCCTTCTCCTCATCCTTCCCAATCCTTCCCTCCTTCACCAGATGTGTCCCCCTTTCAACCTGTTCCTTACTTTCTTCCGCTCCCCCCTCTCCCTTTCCTCCACCTTCCCCTCCTTCTCCTCCCGCATCTCCATCTCTCTTCCTCTCAACCCCACCCATGCTCGTGCCTCTTCCCCTTGCACAACCCTCCTCGTCCACCTCCCCTCCTCCCACAACATTCCCCACCAGCAAATCACAACCCTCCCATACTAGCTCCTCCTTCTTCACCTCCCCTCCTCCCACCACACCCCCAACTACCAATTCTCGACACTGTCCCCCTTGCTCCTTCTCTTCCCTAGCACTCTCCCTCTCCAGCCAACACCCATTGGGTTGTAAAGCCGGTTTCTCTTCAATACCCCCATCCATCCCTTCTGTAGGCTCATGCGCACCACATCCCACCCCTGTCAACCCATCTGCAGGCCCATGCACCCCACATACCACCCCTCCTGCATTGCGTGCTGGTTCAGCCACACCACTCATCGCCCCACGCACCACCACAGCTGCCGCTTCCCTCTCCGCCTCAGCGCCATTGCCGACCGCCTCTGCTCTATCCACGTGACCCGATGCTTGAGGCGCCTCAAGACCAACTGCACTTGAAGTCCCACCCACCACCACCACCGCTGCTTCCCCGCCAACCACCACCGCTGCTGCTGGTGCTCCACCCCTCCCTGCCTCTGCGCCTCTCTCAACCTCCTCTCGTCCATCCATGCGAGTCAACTCTAGAGTCGCCCCACCCACTGTAAGCCCATTCACAGGAAGCGAACTCGTTGATAAAGCCAGTTCCATGTCCCTCGTGGCCCCGCTTTGAGCAGCGCAAGGAGGACCTGCGTCCTTTGAAACTAAACCGGGTGCAAGTTTGTGTCTGTCCGTTGCTGTCCCCACTTCTATACAGCTAAGGGTATCTGTGTCCCTCGCAACTGAACTGGTTGCAAGTGTGTCGGTGTCTCTTGCGCTCCCGTTTTGAGGGTCACTCAGAGCCGCAGTGACCCTCGAAACTGGGCTGGGTGCAGGTGCGGCGTCCGAGTCCTCTGCCGTCCCGTTTTGAAAAGAAGCCTGAGTAACCGCGTCCCTCGAGACTGAACTACATGTAACCGTATCCCTCGGAACTGATAATGTAATAACCGTGTCCAGATCCCTTCCTGTTACACAGGGCAGGCTCACTGTAACCCCTTTCACATGGAAGTTACCACCAGTTGCCTCCACAGCTTCCTCCTCCCGAACCTGGTTTTGAGGTGCCCTTTTGGAAAATTCAAGAGTCACCCCATTCACCTGGTGGTTACCACCGGGTATCTCTCCAGCTGCCCCTCCTTCCACCTGGTTTTGAGGTGCCCTTTGAGAAGATTCAATAGTTACCCCATTGACCTGCTGGTTACCACCAGTTACCTCCACTGCTTCGACCTCCTCCGCTTGGTTACTCTCCTCACATTCCCCCCTGCACTCCCCCCCTCTCACTCCCTCTCTCATCCCCTCTCTCCCCTCCTCTCCAGCAGTCTCTATCACGTCCTCTCCGTCATCCCTTCTCTCCTCACCTTCCCCACCCCTGCTACCTCTCTCCTCCCCATCCTCAACCGCACTCAATCCCACTCCATCTCCCTCCGCCCCTCTCTCCAACGCCCCACTCTCCTCCTCTTCCTTCTTATTCTTTTCCTCCTCCTCCTTCTTCCTCCTCTCCTCCTCTCTTCTCTTTAATGCAATCATTATCATCCTCTCTTCCTCATCAGACTCTGAACAGCTCCCGTCCTCCCCATCACCGCTCTCCACCCTTCTCCACCTGCCATCAGGGAACACCTCCACCTCGTCAACCTCCTCATTTGCTTCGTCAAGAATCTTTTGCACTGTTGGGAGAGCGAAGGGGTGCGGAGGGGTGCGGAGGGGTGCAGTGGGGAGGGGGAGGTGGGAGGGGGAGGTGGGAAAGGGGAGGGAGAGGGGGGTTAGAGGCAGAGGAGAGGGAGGGAGGAAAAAAAGGAGACTAGCAAGCAGGGTGTGGTGGAGTGCGGTGTAATGGGCTTCAATGCAGTGCAGTGCGCTCTTAATGCACTTACTGAATCCGTCCAAAAAGAGCTCCGACCACAGAAGCTGCTGGTAGCAGACGGGGCAGCGCCATGCCCGCTTGACGTTCTTGGCCAGGCCCTGGTTCATGCGCAGGTACGATGCGAGGTCGAATGTGCTCTCGTGGGAGCACTTCTTGCCTCGCACTGGCACCTGCAGTTGGAGAAGGGGGGAGGAGGATGTGGGATGGATGCGGGATGAATGGGGGATGGAAAGCCCATGGGAAGCAGGAAATCATAATAAAACACAGTGGAACGAATGGGTACGGCCTTGGGACGGACGAGGGAGAGAGATCCATTGAGGCTGAGAGCACACACAAGAGTATCCTGAGAGAACTGAAAGAACCATATGACGGAATTTGCACAAGCCTGACAGACCTTGATGCGGGCGAGGGAGAGGGGGCACTTGAGGCTGAGCACAAAGGCTTCGGTCTCCACGCCGCCCTCCCTCAGCTGCGCTGCCGTTTGAGGCGCCTCACAATAGGGGAACCATGAGTATGCTAAGGACTGACCTTGATGCGCGTGAGGGAGAGGGGGCACTTGAGGCTGAGCACAAAGGCTTCGGTCTCCACGCCACCCTCCCTCAGCTGCGCTGCTGAGTTGCTCACCATCTGCGCCACCACCTCTTCGCTCGAACGCACCTTCCTCTCCTGCATCGTCACCTCCTGTGGGTGGAAGGGGCAGGGGGGAAGGGAGGACGAGGGGGGGGGCAGAGCAATACGATGGAACAAGTAGTGTGGCACAGACGGTGATGAGAATCTGCTCACCACCGGTGGACCATCTGCACCACCACCGAGAGGGATGAGGCACAAGGACCAAGTTCATGTTTTGAGACGTCTCAAAACAGAGCAATACGATGGAACAAGTAGTGTGGCACAGACGGTGATGAGAATCTGCTCACCACCGGTGGACCATCTGCACCACCACCGAGAGGGATGAGGCACAAGGACCAAGTTCAGAGGCACGTACACCAACTAGTGGCATCAAGTTTCTGCGAAATTCCCTGCCACTCACCAGCTGTTTGATGCCCTTCTCTGAGCGCATCATCTAGAGCACCTCAGGGGGGTTATAAGCCACCTCCCTCTGTCCCTCCCCACACAGCACACATCTTCCCCAGCACCTCACCCCACCCCCACTCACCCAGCTGTTTGATGCCCTTCTCTGAGCGCATCATCTTGAGCACCTCAGGGGGGTTATAAGCCGCAACCCATTCCACCCAATACAGATTCACACCCGTCCTCTCACTCCCTTCCTTCTCCCTCTGTCCCTCCCCACACGGCACACATCTTCTCAAGCCCCCCCCCCCCCCCTTACTCACCAGCTGTTTAATGCCTTTCTCTGAGCGCATCATTTTGAGTACCTCAGGGGGGTTACAAACCACCATCCGCTCCACCCAGTACAAATCCACATCCGTCCTCTCCCGCCCCTAGTGCCCCACCCAGATACACAAACAGACAAGAACTCACCAGTTGCTTGATGCCCTTCTCTGAGAGCATCATTTTGAGCACCACGGGAGGGTTATCACTTATAAGCCACAACCTGTTCCACCCAGTGCAAATCCACATCCATCTTCTCACACCCTTCCCTCTCCCCCTGTCCTTTCCCCCACACGGCCCACACCTTCCCCACACTCCCCATGCCCATATCACTCACCAACTGTTTGATGCCCTTTTCAGAACGCATCATCTTGAGCACCTCGGGAGGGTTATAAGCCACCAACCGTTCCACCCAGTACAAATCCACATCCGTCCTCTCACACACCTCCCCCCCCACATCACACATCTTCCCCAGGCTCCCCTGGCACTCCGTAGGAAACGCCGGCAGCAGCCGAACCACCGCCAGAACCGTCTCAAACAGCTCTTCTTTCGCTGCCTTTTCCTCCTCCGGTTTTCCCTGAAAGGGATCTCTCTCGCGGGGACCCAAACGCCCGTCGGCCTTCTTTTCCCACCAGGAGATCAGCTCCTGTAGATGCATCTTCAGCAGGTCCCCGTGCTGTGCTGCTGCCTTGCGCCTGCGTGACTCTGCCTCTTTCTCCTCCTTCTCCCATTTCGCCACCACGTTTTCCCCTCTCGCTACAGGACTCACATCCCCATCGCCCCCCTCTCCCTGCCCCTCCTCTTCTGTTTCACCCCCACCTTCCGCCCCCCCCGCCTCCCCTTCCTTCTGCTCACCCGCCGCTTCTCCCCCGTTCTCCCCACCCTCTCCCCCATCCATCCTCTCTTTCAGCAGCAGCGCCTTCACCCCAAACAACATCTCCACCTGTCGGATCGACTCATGGATCGACCTGAGCGCCCTGTAATGCAGAGGCTCCAGCACTTTAGGCTGTGAACCAAGAAAGGCGTCTGAAGTATCCCCATCGTCCTTCTCCATCTCCTCGTCCTCGTCCTTGCGAGCTGTTTTTCTCCGCTTGCTCCGCCATAGGTTCGGCAGGGAGTGCTCTGGGAGTGAGTGCTTTTGAGACTGCTGCTGTGGCTTCTGCTGCTGCGATTGCTGTTGATGTGGTTGCTGCTGCTGCTGTGGCTGCTGCTGCTGCTGCTGCTGCTGCTGCTGCTGCTGCTGCTGTTGTGGCTGCTGCTGCTGTTTTTGCTGCAGCTGCTGCTGCTGCTGCTGCTGCTGCTGCTCCTGCTTCTTTTGCTGCAATAGCATCTGTTGCTGCTGTTGCTGCTGCTGTAACATGGGGTGCGGCTGCTGTTGCTGCAGCAGCACATGCTGCTGCTGTTGTTGGCGCAGCATACTGTTCTGCTGCTGCACGAGCTGCTGCTGCTGCTGTGAAGGTACCTGATGCTGTTGTTGCACCTGATTGCCTTGAACAGTCAACTGCTGCTGTGGCTGCTGCTGCTGCTGCTGCTGTCTCATCTGCTGCAACAGTTGCTGCTGCTGCTTCCACTCCTGCATCTGTTGCTGCTGCCTGTGATACTTCTGCTGCTCCTCGCGAATACGTTGCACCTGAGATAAGGTTGCCTCTTGTTCCTGAACACGCCCTTGTAGCTGCTGCAGCTGCAGCTGCGGTGACTGTGTCTGTGGTTGTGGCGGGTGCGGCTTCTTCAGCTGCTCCCACCACTGCTGCTGCTGAGTAGGAAGTTGCTGAAGCTGATGTGGTTGCTGAAGCTGCTGTGGTTGCTGCGGCAGTTGTTGTTGGGTCGCTTGTGGTGGGAAGACGGACGCTACGCCTTGCTGCTTCTGCACAGGGTGGCCTAGCAGGAATTGCTGAAGGTTCGGTGGAAGCTTATACCAGGGATGATCTGGCTGCTGTACCTGCTGCTTCTGCTGCTGTTGGTGCGGCTGCTGCTTCTGTCTCTTTGGCTGCCCTTGCTGCTGCCCCTGGTGCTGTTGGTGCTGCTTCTGTTTCTGCTGCTGCTGCCCCTGCTGCTGCTGTGGCTGCTGCGGCGGCTGGCGTGGCTGCTGCGGCTGCTGCTGCTGTTGCTGCTGCTGTTGCTGCTGCTGCTGTTGTGACATGTGCATACCATGCAGGCCCGACAACGGCTGAGGTATCGTAAGATGCTGATGCTGTTGATGCTGCTGCTGCGGCTGCTGGTACTGCTGTTGATGCTGCTGCTGCGGCTGCTGGTACTGCTGTTGATGCTGCTGTGGCTGCTGGTACTGCTGTTGCCGTGGCTGCAACTGCTCTAGCTGCGCCTGCTGCTGAGGCTGCATCACTACCTGTGGACTCGCCTGCTGGTGCTGCTGCCGCCACTGCTGCTGCTGCTGCTGCTGGGACGAAGCCGGCACCGGATTTCCCTGCTGCTGCAAACTGTGCTGTTGCTGCTGCTGCTGAAATTGCCTGCTTTGTTGCTGATGCTGCTGCAACTGCGGCTGCAATATCTGTTGACCTGGCAGCTGCTGCTGATGCTGATGCTGCTGCGGGAACAGAGCTGGCGCATTGAGACTCTGCACTGGACTTTGCTGCTGCAACAGCCTGTTTCGTTGCTGTTGCTGTTGCTGCTGCTGCTGCTGTTGCGCCTGCGCCTGCTGCTGGGTCTGCGCCTGCGGCTGGCCCTGCTGCGGTTGCTGCAGGGTGATCTTGACTGGCCCTGCCAGACCTGGCCGCTGCATCAGCATGTTTCGCTGCTGCTGCTGCTGCTGCTGCTGCTGTGGTTGCTGTTGCCGCTGCTGTTGCTGCTGCGAATTCGTTTGTTGCTGGCCCAGCACTGGCTGGCGACCCTGCTGCTGCATCAGCCGGTTTTGCTGAAGTTGCTGCAGGTTCTGCTGCTGCTGCGGCTGCTGATATTGCAGATTGTTGACCTGCTGATTAGCTTGCCCGACGGTTGGCGGCTGGCCGATATGTTGCTGCCCCTGATGCTGTCGGCTTGCCTGCACTGTCGCTCCCTGCTGCAAACGTGCTCCCTGCACTTGCTGTCCCTGCACTTGCGGTGCTCCGTGGAATTGCTGTGCTCCCTGTGCGCCTTGCACTTGCGGAATCTGTGCCTGAGGCACGGGGCTTCGAGATGGTACGTTCTGCCTTACCGATCCTGCCGTCATAGGACCATGCGTGGCCTGATTCGCCGACGAATACGGTGGCGTTTGATGCATCAACGTCGGCTGGCCGATCCTTTGGGCCTGCAGGTTCGGAGATCCCGCCGTAGAAGGACTGGTCCTTTGATATTGTACGATCAGAGGTCCTTGCGTGGCCTGAGCGAGCCGTACATGCGGTGGAGCTTGATTTCCGGATTGATTCGCCGGAAACGACGCGGCGATCTCCTGAACTCCCGGATTTGCAGGAGCCGGTGCGGTTCGAAAGGGTGACACACGGTTTAGATAATCGGAGACGGAAGAAGGTACGGAGTTACGAGATGGATCCATGGTGTCTGTCTGCTGTCCTTGCGACTCAAAACCCCGAACAGGGTTGAGACAACGATCTGCTTAGTTGAGAAATACACTTCTATGGTTCCTATGCACCTTAAGCCTAGGATAGTATGGTAGCCATCGAAACCGAACTAACTAGGCGTGTGCGCTGTGGGAAAACGAACTGAGCATGAGCAGGGTTCGAAGAAACTCCAGAACCAGAACTGAAGTATGGATGAAACAGGATTCAGGAATCTCACAGAAATCCACCGCTGCTGCATACTCGAATCAAGCAGGCGTCCTATATTCCTGTCTGAACATGTTTCCCAACGTTTCTCGTAAGAGCGTCGTTTGCGCTATGTACCTTAGCCTGCTCTGTGCCTACGGTGTTGAATCTTAAAGCACTAAGACGCTGGATTCTGAAGTTATAGCGTTCTTAGCGAGGCAGTCATTGTGAGAAGGAATCTAGGAACTCAGCAGCTAAGGAAAGTCCATGTCTAGTCACCGAGTCTGCATTGCTGCTGTATTGTCTTTCTCCTCGGACGAGCCTAGAGGTTGTGAAAGGTTCTCTACCTGCAGAATCTGGTTTCAGGGGTTGCCTGATGGTGTGATGTGATGCTTGTTTGTTGCCAGCCAGAGCCACCCCCTCAAACACCATGCCCCAGCGAAGGGGGGCTTGGCGAACAGGCGAAGCCCCGGGGGCTTTGGGCGAAGAAATCGGCGAGTTACGGTTGCGAGAACAGTTTGCCAGCTACGCGAAAGTGGATTTGTGATGTATGGTTACCGAGCCTGGCATTGCGACCAACATCGCCTCGCGAAGGAGTCAGAGGTCAAATCTGCGACACAGAGTTTCGCGCGGTTGCCATTCAGGAGCGCGGGAAACTCCTTGGCTCAAACATTGTCAGACCCGCGAGAATCCCAAGGTGGAACTGTCGAGCGGCAAATCTCGTCCGCACGATTTAGAGCACGGAGATCGTGTCCGTTGGATTCACCTCCTACCTCCATGAGAGCAATCAATGGCAATGCCAAAGCTCAAGGTGAAGTGGAGTCACCCTGAAGTGGAATCCAGATCCATCAAGAGAAGAGAATATCAAGGTGGAATCGGCGAAAGCATTCAGGAAAGGCAGAAAAGCCACCATAGAAGTTACCCCACCCATTTCCATACAGACAGATCCGAGAGGCATTGACAGGAATTCACCCGTATTAGGTGTAAGATAAGCCAGTCGACATAGCGAGCCCCTCTTTGCAAACCTTCGTGGACCTCTATACTTATCCACAGGCACGTTTTGATGCCTCGGCGTCACGTTTTTTTTAAAGCGTCGAAATCGGTTTGTAACATCGACTTATAGTTGAAGGCGTTGAAACCTAGGCCGACAATCCCATTCTAGTCCGGATGCACTAGAATTGGACTAGCTTTTTAAACCGTTATTCCTCGCTGAATCTCCTGGTCTTGAGCCATGGCGTCAGTTCCTTCTCAAGATAAGTTCAGTGTCGGACAGCGAGTAGCTCTCAAGGAGCCCGAAAAGGGCCACCATTACGCGCCACGTGGCACCGTGCGATACGTCGGACCCGTGGACGGTCACAAGGGCGAGTGGGTTGGCGTAGAGTGGGACGATCCTTCGCGAGGAAAGCATGACGGAGTGGTAACCGGGAAACGTTACTTTCAGTGCGAAAAGGTCCCTGCTGGCACGCCGGCCGGATCGTTTGTGCGACCGCAGAAGCTGACTGGAGGAGTCACTCTGCGTGATGCATTGCTGGACCGCTATAACACAAGCGGGGAGGACTATAAAGGTGCGTATTTTTTCTCGCATTGAACAACGACTCCCATTTCGCGCATCAATACTCGTTGCTATATTACAGGACATTATTCCAAGGTGGAAATCCATCTTATTTGACGTATTCGTATTCAGTGTTCCCTTCACACATAGCATCTGCATATTTTCATGTCTTATATCGATCCACTCTACAGCGGAGCCCATTTACAGGGCTCTGGGCCGGCGAAGGGCCATGGTGATCGAATTCGTCTCTGCTCCAGCGAATAAAAGTGGAGCAGTTAGGGCTGAAGGAGGAACTGATACAGCTGTTCTGGGGAATGATAGCGAAGAATGTGGAGGAGGGGGGGGATCTGAGGAAGAGGGGACTCAGGGTGAATCAATGGAAACGGCTGGGGGGATATCCAGTGGAAGAGAAGGCAGGGAAGAGGGCAAAGGCGAGGCGATCAAGAGAAACGGGATGTGGTTGTCTCGTCTTCAAGCTGCCAACGTGTCGGAAGTACCAGTGGGGTCGGTGGGAGCTGTGGGGGAAGTCGCAGCTATCGCATGTGAGTGCTTGCTGCTTTTCCCTTCTCCTCCCCATGTCTATCATCCGCTTTGGTTGTCTCGCCTTCAGGCTACAAACGTGTCGTTAGTACCTGTGGGGTCGGTTGGAGCTGTGGGGGAGGTGGCAGCTATTGCGTTTGAGTGCTACTTACTTTTCCCTTTTGCCGAGTGTGTGATACGTGCTTGAGGGTGTATTGCTTGTGCCGCCGCTACCCCTTGTTCAGAGAGGTGCAGTGCAGAGGGTAGGGCAGGAGCTGCCACGAGGCCTCACAGTCACACCCCACACGCATATGTCTCTGCACTTTTTTTTCTTTCCTGTCCCAACCAGCCCTGACAGAGCTCGACATGTCATTCCACCTCCTAACCGACTGGCACGAGGTGCAGAGGGTAGGAGAGGAACTACCGGGCCTCACAGCCCTGGACATTGGCCATTCCAGACTCGCCTTTCCTTTGGCTGTTGTATCGTCGTCTCCTTATGCTGGTTCCTCTCGATCCACTCCTCCTGCACTCTCCGCTTCTCCGCTGGCTGGGCTGAGGAAGCTCGGGCTGAGCAACACACGAGTCACATGGGCCCAGGTACGTGGGGCGCGATTGGTGGAGTGAGGCATGGCGGGGAGAGTGGGCATGGCTGGGAAATGAGTGGGGAGTGGCTGAACGAGCGGGGCATGGCTGAAAGGGTTTTCATCGTTCCTCCTGCCACAGGTGTGTGTGTGGAGCAGGTTTGAACGTGTTGGATTGTTTTCCCAATTCCCTTCCCAAACTCCTTCTCGAGCTTCTCCTCTCATCAAACTGCTTACCCATCTCCCTCTCGAACTCCTTCAACCGCTCCTCACCCCTCGTTATCCAATCTCCTTGCTTCAACTCCACATCCAGGTGGAGGAAATCTCCCGGCAGCTTCCCCTTCTCGAGACTCTGGTTCTGATCAAGAACGAGATTGCAAGTCTGCGACCCATGGGTGGTGCCGTGGCCAGTCAACCTCCTCTGGACTGCCTTCAGGTGAGAAACGATCCAAGGCTCTTAGCAAGAGACGATGTGCTCTTTTGGCTTGTTGAAACTTGTTTGGCTGGTATGTAGCTGTTGGGACCACTCTGGAGGCGACTGGAAGTTACAACCAGAGCACTGATGTTGAGTCTTGAGACTTCTCAGAATCCCACTTTTGCTCTCTCTCTCCTTACAGTGGCACATAGTTGCATCTTCCCACATGCCCCTCTTCATATGAGTCAACTCAAAAGTTGGTGGCAGATTGTTACATCTTCCCACATGCCCCTCCTCTTATGGCCCCCCTCTTTACCAGCTCCTGTCCTCCTGTTCTCCCCTCCTGCTCACTCCCTCCTATCCATCCCTTCTGCCCACCCGTTTCTGCCTACCACTCCTGTCGACCCCTCACAGCACCTGACCTACCTAGACCTATCCAGCAATAGCATTGCTGACTGGGCTCAAGTCTCCTTCCTCTCGGCCTTGCCCTCGTGAGTGCTGCTGCTGCCACTCCTACACCAGCACCATCACCAGCACCATCACCAGCACCATCACCAGCACCATCACCAGCACCAGCACCATCACCAGCACCAGCACCAGCACCATCACCAGCACCATCACCATCACCAGCACCATCACCATCACCATCACCATCACCAGCACCAGCACCAGCACCATCACCATCACCATCACCATCACCATCACCATCACCATCACCATCACCAGCACCATCACCAGCACCATCACCATCACCATCACCATCACCATCATCATCACCATCATGATCACCATCATGATCACCATCATGATCACCATCATGATCACCATCATTATCACCATCATTATCACCAGCCCTGGCACTCCTGTGCACCCCTCGCAGCACCTTTCTCTCAGCCTTTCCCTCGTGAGTGCTGCTGTTGCAACTACTACACCAACCCCAGCACTGGCACCAGCACCAGCGTCAGCAACAGCACCAGATTGCTGTGCAACAATCAGTCTGCTACGGTTCACCATATATCAGGCAACTCTCTTGTTAGCACTATCATTCTCCCTTGTTCCCACATGCGGTGATTTCTTAGCAGCACAACAGCAACCATTCCATATAAGAAACTCAAGACCATCTTGTCTCTTCATGCCCGTACGTCCTCATTGCTCCATGAACAGCTTGAAATGGTTGCTGCTCTCAGGGAATCAGATCGCCAACATTCCTCGGGTTGATGACAAAGCTGCACACGCCTCCATTTTTCACAGCCTGCATCATCTCTCTCTAGGTGCGCAACTTTTTAAAGGCGCCTCAGAATTCGTTTTTAGTTTTGAGGTGCCTCAACAACAGAAACGCAACTGCACACACCTCCATCTTTCACAACCTGTAGTATCTCTCTCTAGGTACGCGCTTTCTGATATTTCTCACAAGTCACTCCCAGAGTAACTTGTGGGAGTTCAAGAAGTGAAGCTGATGTAGATGTGTGTCTTAAGGCGCTTCAGAGCATGCGTCGTAAAAAACCAACCCAACTTCTGAGACGTCTCAAAAGTCGATTCAGAGCATGTGCCTTGAACATCCACCCAACTCCTGCGCGTCTCTCGCTGGATTATTGTTCCATCAGGACTAATGTCTCAGCTGCATGCACGTCTCTGTTCCATCATCTCAACCTCCTCTCTCTTGAGGTCCAGCAACAACAGACCTGTGTGCGTACTCCCATCTCTCCTCACCCCAATCTGAACCCAGCTGACAACAACTTGTGTGAATGGGCGTCCATCAATGCCCTGGCCCTCACATGCCCGAACCTCAAGGTATGGTGATTTGTTCCGAACCTCAAGGTATGGTGATTTGTTCCGAACCTCGAGGTACAGTGCTCCCCCACAAGGCTTTGGATTTGTCCAGTCTCGTGTTGAAGCTCACTGACAATGTTGAGTCACTCATTGTGCTTCTAATCCCCCCTCAACCTGTATCTTTCCCTTTGTCTCTCCCTTCTAATGCACATCCCGATCTATTCCCATGCCAGGAGCTCGTTCTCTCCCACAAGCCTTATGTGCCCAGATTGCCTTCAGCCAATCAAACGCCAGCCTCAACCAGTGCTCGAGCTAATGGCAACACGACAGATGGCAACGGGTCAGGGGGCGGAGAGGCAGCGAACGGGAGTCTGACACCTGGCATTGGCGGTGCTGCTGCTGCTGCTGATGATGGGGAGGAGGGTGATGGGAGGGTGGAGAGGTGTGAGTTTGGGCTGGGAGTGACGGAGGAAGGGAGGATGGGAGTGATCGCAAGGATTGGGTCGATTCAGAAGCTCAATCTCGCTCAGGTGAGTTTTGAGTCATGTCAAAGTCGAATTGGGTCAATCCTGGGAGCTCGATATTGCTAGGTGGGTGAGGCTCTTTAGTTTTTGAGTCATCTCAAAGTCAAATTGGGGAAGGCGAGGGGGAACGGGGGATGAGCCAGAACCGGGAGACGCAAACAGAGCAAGCGAGGTTTGATGAGGAGATGATAACTCAAAACTACTTTTGACGTGTAGCGAGGGTGTTTTTGAGACGTCTCAAAAACACCCTCGCTACATGTGGCAAGCGAGGTTTGATGAGGAGATGATAACTCAATACTACTTTTGAGGCGCGTCAAAGTAGTCCTAGGGAGCGCCTGGATGCATAGATGTGGTACATCTTCCACGCCATCCCTCCTTGTGTATGTGTGCTTGCCCGCATATGCATGTCCCCACGTATTATCAACACATCAGATCCTTCCCAGGGAGCGCATCAATACTCCTACCTGCTTTGTGTGCTTGCTTTTTGTGCATACAACACATCAGATCCTACCGAGAAACGCATGGATGCAGAGATATGGTACATCTCCCACGCTATCTGCTCTTTCATCCACATGTATGCATGCATGTGCATGTCCCCATGTTACTAACACATCAGATCTTACCCAGGGAGCACATGGATGCAGAGATATGGTACATCTCCCACGCCATTCGCTCGTTCCCACACGCCACTTCCCTCCCTCACCTCGTCTCTGCCGGCCACCCCGCCCTGCCTGCTCTCCTTGCTCATCCGCACTTATCCACGCATGCGTGTGTGTATGTGCATGACCCCATGTTATCAGATCCTACCCAGGGAGCGCACGGATGCAGAGATATGGTACATCTCCCACGCCATCCGCTCGCTCCCCCACGCCACGTCCCTCCCTCAACTCGTATCCGCGGGCCACCCTGCCCTGCCTGCTCTTCTCGCCAAGCACGGCCTCGACTTGGTATCAGAGCGGAGGAAACTCCTCCCAGGCTTCTATTCCAACACTAGCACATCTGCCACCCTTGCACCTGGTGCTGCTGGTGCTGCCGTTGGTGCTGCCGGTGCTAGCAGCAATTCTGGTGATGTTACTGCCAGCTCCAATCGCCCTAGCAGCTCTTCATTCCTCAGTACGCCCTCAGGCTCCCCCTCATAGCAACCTCCCCCACTCCTTGCTCTCGTTCCACCCTCTCTTCTTTCTGACATTCAATCCTTTTTGGTGACGTTTCCATCAACCCCTCCCCTGTCTTGTCTTTCTGAGCCTACTCATTAGTAACTGCTCTCCTTGCCATCACCTCTCCTTTTGCTCGTTTATCCCTTTCATTCCAGGCATCACGTTCCGGGTGATTTCTCCTGAAGGTAGCGGTAGCAGCACAGCCAAGGAGGTCACCAAGAAGCTTCCTCAGTCCACAACTGTCAGTGCTGTTTTGCTGAAGTTCATTGCATCTGTTCACTCACTCACTCGCTCATTCACTCACTCACTCACTCACTCACTCACTCACTCGCTCACTCACTCATTCGCTCACTGCTAAGACAGTACTGCTGGGTTGGATCATTGTTGTTTGGTAGCCTTGCTGAACAGGAGTGATTCAAAAAGCATGTCAGACGAGCTGACAGTGAACCGAAAGGTCGCTTTGATACCAAAGCACTCACCATGCTGCAGCCCGCCATGCTTATTCATCTGCAAGCCGTGTCATCCGTTTTTCCTTCGATGTTGCATCTGTGCGTCTGAATTGCATGTGTCTCACATGTCCAAAACGGCATTCGGCTCAACTCCCTCGACTCACAGCCCTGTTCATCCATTCTCCCTCCCGTCACTGCACATGCACATCTCAACTGCATGGTTGCAGGTGTCTAAAATGCCCCCCCTCATTGCGCGACTGCCCAAGCTGGATTCCCGCTTCGCTCCTTCTCCCTCTAAATCGCTCTCCCACGCCTGAACTGCGTGAACCACAAGCGTCCAAAATGACCTTCTCCCTGTCTGTGCACATGAACCGCATGGTTGCAGGTGTCTAAAATGCGGCCCCTCATTGCGCGACTCCTCAAGCTGGATCCCCGCTCCGTCTCCCTCTTCCTCCTGCCATCCACCCTTGAAGGCGTTCAGGTACGGAGGTCGGGAGTAGTGAGAGGGGCTTGGAGGGTTTGGCTTTAGGGCCTACGCATACAGGATTGTGGAATTTATGGCTCTCTTGGCCTCAGCTGCCGCACCTGCATTATGGTGCCACAGCTGCCTTGAATGCTGCACAAACCAACATTCTTACCAAGATATGTTGCTGCTTTGTGTTCTTGTGCCTCCCACGCGCCCTGCAGCCTCTCCCTTCGCTCCTGCTGGACAATACGGTGCCTCTTGGGGTGCTGCTGCATTCTACTACCACAGCTGCGTTGAATGCTTCACAGGCGACCATTGTTGTTGATACCTCTCTGGTGAGTGCATGATGTAATATGGGTTGTTGGTACACCTATGCTTCATTGTTCTTACTCTAGAGTGGCAATGAGATGTTCATAAACAGATTTGGAATGCCATGTTTCCCCCTCTCTGCATTTTCTTTTACAGGATGTTCAGCAGGTGGCATCGCTTTCAGTACCTCAGGTTTTGGCATGTGAGCAACGGTTAGCAAGGTTGCTAGAGAAAGTATGATTATTGCTTTGTTAGCTAGTATCAATACAACTCTTAAGTGAATATAATGGATATATTTATATTGTTTGGCGCTTGAGCCAGCACGATACAGTAGCCTGCTAAAAAAACGCCACTCCCCGCCTCTACGGGCAAGTCTTTTTCGGGCCAACATCATATACATGCAAATTAGTCTGGTAACCCTATTCGATGGTATGCAAAACCGTCGATACCTCGGTTTTGGAGGTATTGACATATTGCCGTAGTATCACGATTCATTTGAATCAACGCACTGATTTCTACCGCGCTTGTATTTCCGCTGAGCTTCGATTTATTCGGGCTACTGTTCGCCAGATGAGCAACACTGTTCACTATACCTGACAGAAAAAATAAAACCCGGTCGGAAAGGGATGCACTTGGGGAGGCATCAACCCTAAATACAATGCCTTTCCCGTGTTTAGGGTTGATCCCTCCCTGAAAGGAGTCCAGGTGCCTAGGGGTTTTATTTTTTTCTTGCCTGCCCGAACAGTACCCGGTAGCAATATATGGGGTGCAATATATTGTTACAAAAATGACACCGTTAACTTTCATTCGACGGATTTTCCTGTTAAAATTATCGTGCACATTTAACGGAAAATTGTTGCCCTCAGGAATCTTTGTTAGGCGTCAAACAAAGCGCGGTGAAAAAAGCTATGAAACGAAATTGAAATGGAATCGATTGTTTTACCCATTGCATCCTTTTTGTGCTGCATCAGCTGTTACACAGTGTTTTATGTGGCGCTACCAGACAAATTTGCGAAGCAGAACTGGGGTATCGACGGTTTTGCATACCATCGAATAGGGTTACCAGACTAATTTGCATGTATATGATGTTGGCCCGTCTTTTTCCGCCTCTTTCATTGCTGAGAAGTGCTGTCTGACAAATCTCCATTACAAATGATCGAGACCGTCCGTATTCCGTTCTGCAATTTGTGCACCCCCAAATGTCCAAACTCGATTGTTTCGCGGCACGAGATCCGCCTGACAAACACACCGCCGCCACATCCCTTCCCTACCAATTCCCAAGGCTCTGACCTCTTGGCTTATCTCTCTTGTGCAGCACCCTTGTCTCCTCTTTACTCTCCTTTCCCTTTTACATCTCCTTAGCTGTCTCCGAGGTGGGATTTTGTTGAGCTCTTTCTTCCCAGCACCGCGCTTCTCTTATCTCGTCTAGCACACAAGAACCATGAACTGTTCGCGGCGATCGGTTTGCACGTTCGACTCCTCCAATCTCTGGGCTCTCGAGAGAGAATATCTCGCCAAGCCACACCCTTCGAACAGGCTTTTTATTTCTCTATTACCCGTAGTTTCTGTACCGTACACTCGTCCACTTACGGCGAAAAATATCCACGTGTCGGGTCGTGTAGCGCTAGCGACATGGATCCCGGTAAGATCAATGGTCAATTGGAACGCAAAAGCAATTCCCATCCTCCGCGCAACTACCATCGATCCCGGCGCTCGTTGTTAGCTCTTTCGGCTCGTCCCAGCAAATCCGGTAGCCATGCCACGTGTTCGAGACGTCGATTGATCGAGCGCCGCCAACAGTTTCGCGAAGCACTCTTTTCGCGTACCGCAGAGTGTCCTACCATGTGTAGAGGGACTCGCTTGGAGCCCTATGGTAGAGCCCCCGTGGTGCCCGGGCGAAGGAGGAGCGTCGCGTCGCTGCTCCTCCTGCCCCTCCTTCGCCATTCAACCACACTCGCCGGGGTTTCTCAAATACCCCCGGCTCAGTCGGTCTTTCGTGCAGGTTCATCTAGCTGCGAGTTGCGTGGCCTCACTAGTCGAGAGCAGCCGCAGCCGCAGCCGCAGCCGCATCTGCCTGTAGCAGCTTCACCATCGGCGGCACTCAGCGGCGCCGCTTGTGCCGGCACCAGCGCCGTCGCCAGCACCAGCGCGGGGACCAGCATCAGGAGAATTATATCTTTGCGCAAAGACCGCCGTCTTTGCGGGGAGAGGCAGGGTCGCGGGTAACATTTGGAAGGACTCAAGTCGCCAAAGGCAGTTGAAGATCGGCCCGCGGCGCACTTGACGGATCGTTGGGGTGCTGACGGATCGTCGAGGCCCTGACGGAACGTTGAAAAGCTCCTGACGACTTGGCCACATTGGCCCGTGGCGCACCGCGTTCGTCAGGCTTGAACACTTCGGCTTGGCATCGGATTTGAACCTTAAAGCTCTGAAAAAGGTCCCGTTGTCCTCTGGCCTGCCCGGGTCTGCTCTGGACCGCCCTGGACCTATCTGGACCGCTTTGGACCGCTCTGATTTAGTACGCCAGGAAGACGTGACTGCCGTGCGTGCTGCGAGGAAGACGCGAGGCGTGCCGCTTGTGTATGGACTCCATTCCGGAATTCGACGAGGAGATTGAGATGATTGGGAGCGAGGAGGAGCGCCGTGTGGCTGTAGCGATGGGCGGCGGGATGGGAGGCGCTGCAGGGATGGGCGGAGGAGGAGGCGCTGCGGGGATGGGGGCGGATGGACTGGGGAAGGGGAAGGGGAAGATGAGTCCGAGAGACGAGGCGGAGGCGCATAGAGCCACGTATGGGTCGCAGTTTGATGCTGAGTATGATGCTTCTGATAGTGGCTCCAGTGCCAACGGCTCAGATGCTCCCGTTGATGCTGCTGCGGCTGGTTGGGTTGAGAGGCGCAGGAATGGCTGGGGAGGTGACTGGCGCGGTGGCAACAGCGGGAACAGCAGGAGCAGCCGCGTGAATGAAACCACCACTGGCGGTAACAGCGGTGGCAGCGGCAGCAGCGGTGGCAGCGGCAACAGCGGTGGCAGCGGCAACAGCGGTGGCAGCGGCAACAGCGGTGGCAGCGGCAACAGCGGTGGCAGCGGCAACAGCGGTGGCAGCGGCAACAGCGGTGGCAGCGGCAACAGCGGGAACAGCAGGAGCAACCGTGGGAATGAAACCACCTGCGGCAGCAGCGGTGGGAACCACAGCAGCAATGGCAGGAGCAGCAGCAGGAGGCACGGGAGGAGGGAGCAGCACCGGAGCAGGCGGGCTGCAGAGATAACTGAAGTCCCGATCCCTGAGGACTACGAGGAGGAAGGGGTTGCTCCAACCCACGACGAGGTGACCTCTGGGGGGTTGGCTCCTCAGGCAAATGGTAGTCTGCAGCAGCAGCAGCAGCAGCAGAGGACGGTGTGGGAGTTTCGTTCAGGTCTTGCTCCTGCTGCTGCTGCCGCAGCTGCTGCTGCCACCGCTGCTGCTGCTGCTGCTGCTGCAGCGGCCACTGCTGCTTCTGACGGTGCTGCTGCTCGTGGTGGTGGAAGCTCCAGAAATCATCGCTCCAAGTCTGATTCAGCTGCTCGAGGTAACGCTGCCACTCCTGGTGGTGGTGGTGCTACTGCTGCTGCTGGTGCCACTGCTGCTGCTGCTGCCAGCATCCACCCCACCACTGCAACCGCTCTCAACTCTGCCATCTCCCCTTCTGCTCCTCCTTCCGCCCCAGCAACCTCTCTCCCTTCCCCCACTCTCCCCTCCTCGCCTCCTCTCGCCCCCAACGTCTCCCCCGCCTCCCCCACTCTCTGGTACACCCCTCTCTCCCCCATCCTCCCTGGGCCCCCCGATGGAACCCCCCAGCACCGCTCCAAACCCCGCAGCACCCCGTCTTCCTCCCCTTCCGACTCCACCTTCAGCACCCTCACCACAGCTAGCAAACCCGGCGCCTCCCCCGTTCCTTCCTCCTCCTCCTCCTCCGCCTCCTCCTCCTCCCCCAGGTTCAGTAGCCTCTTCCGCCCCTGGGGGCGGCCTTTGCCCCGGGATAGACGGCGGGATATGCAACTTCCGCATGTCCTCCCGCACGCACTTCCTTCTCATGCGTTTCATCTCTCTTTTCACCGTGGTCTCGGGTCTCGGATACCTCTCCTGGAAATGCTACATGGTGGGGAGGAACATAACCCAAGCTGGACCTGCCTGCCTGCTGTTCCTTTCCACCGAAATCCTCGTCTTCCTTTCCTCCTTCATGCTCGTTATTGAGCTTTCCAAGCCGGCGAAAGAGAGGAAGGCGCTGAGTCTCCCCCCCTCGGGGCCGTTTCCCCGGGTTGCGATTCTCATCTGCTGCTGCAGCGAGAAGATCGATGTGATCCAGGACACGGTTAAAGGGGCTATGAATCAGAATTACCCCGGGGAGAGGTACTCGGTGTGGGTGCTGGACGATGGGGGGGATGATGAGCTTAAAGCCTGGGTTGAAGCAGAGGCGATGGAAGGGTGGAGCGGAGGAGGCGTGGGAGGAGCAGCAGGAGCAGGGGGAGCAGCAGGAGGGGAAGTGGGAGGGGTGGAGCAGGATCAGAGCGAGCAGAGCCAGCTGCAGCGGCAGCAGCAGCTGATGGTGCTGCAGCAGCAGCAGGGCCGGCGGCTGTTCTACCTCCGCCGCCCCAAGAAGAAAGGCTTGCCACACCACTTCAAAGCCGGGAACATCAACTACGGATTGCACTTCGCCTGCGGGGAGTTTGTCGCGGTGTTGGATGCGGATATGATTCCCTCGCCCTTCTTTCTGTCGGCGCTGCTGCCGCATATCGTCGGGGAGGAGAAGGGGGATGTGGCGTTCGTGCAGTGCCCGCAGTCTTTTTACAACATTGTCAAGGGGGATCCGCTGAACGACTCTTCGCAGGATTTCTACGATGTTCTGCTGCCATACAGGTGTGTGTTCTTTTGTCGACTCTGTTTTTTGGGTCGACCCAAAAATAGGCTCAAAAACAGGTGTGTGTTTTTTTGTCGACTCTGATATAGGCGTCTGAAATACAGTTTCTGTCCTACAGGTGTGTCTTTTTTAGACTGTGTCGGAGGGTGACGTGGCGTTTGTGCAGTGCCCCCAGTTTTTTCGCATGCAGGGATTTCATCGCCTCCCACTTATAAGCAAGTGAGTTTAGGGACATGTTTTCCTGGTTCCTAATCCCTTTTGTCCCTTCCCCCTTTCCCCTTCCCCAGGGATGGTCGTGACAGCGCACAGTGCGTGGGCACGGGGGTCATTTTCCGCGCGGCCCACCTGCAAGCGATAGGCGGGTTCACAGTGGGGTCGATCACAGAGGACTTCGACACGGCCATGACGCTGCATGCCAAGGGGTACAAGACGGCCTATGTCAACCAGGTGAGGGTGGGGTGTGGGTGTGTCTACATGCTGGTGGGGTGGGGTGGGGTGGGCTTGGTGAGGTGGGGTGGGTGACTGTTGCTCCTACATGTGGAACGGGAATGCAAGGGATGCTGGAATAGGCGGGTTCACAGTGGGTTCACAGTGGGGTCGATTACAGAGGACTTTTACACGGCCATGACGCTGCATGCGAGGGGGTACAAGACAGCGTAAGTCAACCAGGTGAGGCAGGCAGTTCAGGGTTTAGGGTGACTAAAGCTCCTAGTAGCTGGAATGCAAGGTAATAGGCGGGTTCGCATGGGGGTTTGATCACAGAGGATTTCGATGCTCCTACGTGTTGGAGTGCAAGGGACGGGGCATGCTGGAATAGGGCATTCATATTTATGGTGGGTTTGATCGCAGAGCATTTTGACACTGCATGGAAGGGGATACAAGATGGCATATGATATGTGAAGCAGGTGCGACGGGGGAATGGTGCTCTTACCGGCTGGAATCAAACGGGCAGGGTATTTTTGAGAATTCTCTAAAATATCCTTCAGCTGCATGGAAGGGGATACAAGATGGCATATGATATGTGAAGCAGGTGCGATGGGGGAATGGTGCTCTTACCGGCTGGAATCAAACGGGCGGGGCATGCTGGAATAGGCGGGATCACACAGTGGGTTTCATCAAAGAGGGGCCTGTGAGGAGTACAGCAAGCAGCGCCAGCAGTGGCCCACAGGCAGCCTGCAGCCTGCAAGCAGGTCTGGCGTCGTGGAGTCTGGAGAAGTACATCAAGCAGCGCCAGCGGTGGCCCACAGGCAGCCGGCAGATACCAAACAAATGCCTCGCTCGTACTTCTGTGCGCTCCGCACCCCCTTTTTTCCTTGTCAACAGCGCCTGCAAGCAGGTCTACCACCGTGGCGTCTGGAGGGGTACTTACAAGCAGCGCCAGCGGTGACTTTTGAGTCGACGCAAAGGTCATCCGTGGAGTCTGGAGGGGTACATAAAGCAGCACCAGCGGTGGGCCACAGGCAGCATGCAGACCCCAAACAGAGTCCTCATCTATACTTCTGTGCCTCCCCCTTCCCTGTGACTTTTGGGTCGACTCAAAGGACACCAAACAGAGTCCTCGTCTATACTTCTGTGCCTCCCCCTTCCCTGCTGCATGTGCTTATGACAGCGCCTGCAGGCGGGTCTGGCCCCCTGGAGTCTGGAGGGCTACATAAAGCAGCACCAGCGCTGGGCTACTGGCAGCCTGCAGATCCTGTTACACCGTAACCCGCTTCTCTTACGCGCGCCCAAGTTCAGCCTTTACCGCAGGATCTCCTACTGGTATGCTGGTGAGTACCTCAGGCCCTCCCCGTGCTTGCTGTTTCGTTTGTGAGTCTCACATCCCTGCATCCCCATGTAGGTCTCAAGCTACATGTCTCAAGTCCCCATATATAAGATACGAGAGCTTTGAGATGTCTCAGGGCTCTTCTTTAACCTCTACCGCAGCTTCTGCTACTGGCAACTATAATTGAGGGGCCTCAGCGTCTAGTTTTAGCCTGTACCGCAGGATCTCCTACTGGTATCCTGGTGTTTCTCAAAGGTTCACCTCACTCACATTCGTCCTGCAGCCATGTTGACTCACCTCCCGCTGCTCCAAATCCCTACATGTTCCTTCTCGCCTATCCCCCCACTTCCCGCCTCTCCCTTCCTTCCAGGCGTACAGTACTATCTCAACGTGATTGTAATCATGATCCTCGTCCTACCTGTCCTCATCCCTCATCCTGTCCCACCACTCAAATGACATGACACACATTTCCTTGCTCCAACCTCAAATGTCCCCCCTCCCACCAGGCGTACAGTACTATCTCAACGTGATTGTAATCATGATCCTCGTCCTACCTGTCCTCATCCCTCATCCTGTCCTACCGCTCAAATGACACACCTTTCCTTGCTCCAACAACCTCACATGTTCCACCTCCCACCAGGCGTACAGTACTACCTCAACGTGATCGTCATCATGATCCTCGTCCTACCTGTCCTCATCCTGGCCCTCGATCTCCGTATCATGCCGCCCGGCCCCATCTTCGAAACCACCCGTCTCTACATCATCCTCCTCGTGCCCTACGTCTTTGCCTCTCGCCTCCTCTGCCTCGGCCTCTTCGCCCGCCTTCCCAACGGCATGATGGTTCAGCTGCGGGGAGAGCAGGTTTGGTACTGGATGTCCTTTTTCAACTGCATGGCGATCCTCCGGTTTTTTTTTCCCTTTCATCTCGAAGAAATTTGAGGCCACGGGCAGCACGAAGAAAAAGGCGCCCGCGGTGTGGGAGCGGCTGATGACTGTGTGGTTCCACGTGGGGTTCTGTGTGGCGGGGGTTGGCGCGGTGGCATGGCGATTCGCGACTGTCGACTTCCATGACTGTGGAATGGTATGTGAAATGAAGCTAGGAAGGAAGCTTCACTACATGTGCTTGGTTGCCTTCTCTCTTGTTCTGGTTTAGCTGGGCTTGTTCTCTTGTGCTCTTTCTCCTGTTTCCATAGAGCACCCTCGAACAGTTGTTACGTCTCCTTTTTGTTCCATCTCTTTCTCTCAAACCTTCATTTATATGTTCCGCCCATTGTGCTTCACTTGCAGCTTCTCAAGGTCACCTCATGGGCTCCCTTTATCCTCTTTTCCGTGCAAAGCATGCTCGTGCCGATAATCCACGTCATCATGTCCCCAACGCATCCCAAGGCGGAGGACCGGAGGAAGTATCTCAATTATGATGAGTATGGGGTGCCATATCTGAGGCCTGAGCAGCTGTTGCCGAAGCGTGATTACCGCGTGTTGCTTTTCAACATTATCCCTGGCATCTGGGCGGTGACCATAGGGTTCTATTTCTATGCGGCGATCACCAATTTCAGACCTGGGTTCTGCACCAAGAGCGGGTTCTTCGGGTATCCTAGGTTCTAGTTGGCTTCCTTTTCTTACCTTCACAATTCCCATGTGCTAGTTCGTTGTATGTGTAGAGTGTATCGGTTAAGAGTACGTTAATCACATTTAATAGGTGATTGAAACGAAGAGTCGCCTTTGGGTGTCGGCTCGGGTCGTTGTGGCTGTTTTCACCGACCTCGGGTCCACCGTTTTCACGAGTCGGGTCTGGTAGGCCTGCTTGCGTCAACAATCGAGTTCGTCCGTGTTCCAACAACCAACGGCTCAGATGGTTCTTGCTCTCTAGGCTACCGTCACCGACAATGCGAGGGCGTACCGATGAAATTGTCCCAGCAACACTTAGAGAATCACTTTGTTATTCTCCTCAACGAATTTTCCATTCTTTCGCCTGCTTTAGTTACACATTCTACAGCGAAACCGTGCTTGGGCAAATTAGGGGCTAATGTCTTCCACCTGTCTCCGTCACTCCACAGCATGAGTCCCTACCGCGACTCGGCTGCATGCCACGCCACCCACCCACCAACTTCGGTCCACAAATCGCAATGCCTCGCACAAGCTGACGCGACGAGGTAAAGCTTGTCGGTGCTGCTCCCACCCACACAGTGCGTAGCGTACTGTACACGACCAAGTGTTATCCTTACTGTACGCCAGACGAGGCGCCTAAGAAAGTAGTCGCAGTCGCAGGTCGAGACTAGGCTGGATCTTGGGGAGTTAAATTAAAACTTGTGATCTCCAGTCAGGTACGAGGGGGAAGGTGTCGTTTTGGTTCTTTGAATCGATCAATCCGTCTTGCGTTGTCACGAATTTACACGGCGTTCGACGCGAAATTCTCCTGCTTTATACCGTTCGCACACTTTTTCAGTCGACTCAGCAACAGATTCGATAGAAGCGTACAGCGTTACACGACACTTGACGATCCATTTTCTCGCTTTGCGAGACAGAGCGACGCAGCATGGCAGCGGGTCGTTCCTTCGCGCGATCGAGCATGCATGTAGTAACCCTTACACGACGCTTCGATATAAGGAAACTTTTTACGGGCGCGTTAATCGCATCCTTACTTTGCGCCGCGAGCTCCGCTGACACGGTCTCCGCGTTGGCCGGTGGTAGCACGTCACGTGTAGGGAACGGCGGGAGACAACTCGCGACGGCCCCGACGAATGGGGTAACCAGCTTCCAACCGACGCAGGCGACAGTGTGCAACTTCTCTCGCAACGGGCAGTGGCTTTCGCGAAACAAGGCTCCCTACGGTGCCGATTGCCCTTTCCTCAAGGTATTGCTAGCGCCGACGCCGCGGAATTTGCGCCCGTTCGCTATAGCCCGACGGGGTTCGCGGGCACCACGCGCAGCTTGTTTTTGCGCCCATGCGGCAGCCTTGCCATTGATGCTTTACCCTCTCCTTTCGCTCACCCACAGCCTCTCTCCTCTTCCATCTTCCCCAATCTCTTCCCCGAGTTTTGAGTCGACTCAAAACGCGGCCACCACGCGCAGCTTGTTTTTGCGCCCATGCGGCAGCTTTGCCATTTATGCTTTACCCTCTCCTTCCGCTCCCCCACAGCTTTTGAGACGTCTCAAAAACCTTGCCATTTATGCTTTACCCTCTCATTTCGCTCCCCCACAGCCTCTCTCCTCTTCCATCTTCCCCAATCTCTTCCCCTTCCTCCCCCCCCTTCCCCTCCTTCCCCCCCTTTCCCCCGCCCCCATTTCTTCCCCCCCCCGCCTCCCCTCTGCCGCCCTTCCTCCTTCCCCCCAACCAACCTCCTCACCCCATCTCCCCCTACTAAGCCTCCCCGCGCCCCTTACTCCGCTCTTCTCCCCGTCCCTGGTCCTACACTTCACGTGATTGAATGGTGTCTCTCCCCTACCAGAAGGCGGGCCCAGTAAATTGACTTTTGAGACGTCTCAAAACTCCGCTCTTCTCCCCGTCCCTGGCCCTCTCTCCGCTCTTCTCCCCGTCCCTGGTCCTACACTTCACGTGATTGAATGGACTGTCTCCCCTACCACCCTACCAGAAGGTGGGCCCAGTGAATTGCATACTCAAGCCCAGGAACCGTCCCAGGAACTGGCTGGTAAGAAATGGGCTGGGTACGGTGGGGCTGGGTATTGGTCTGCTCCATTTCGCAATGCCCAGGCTTGTTTCTGCTGCTTCTTTTGCCCTCCCCACCCCCCACCTTCCCCCCCCTCCTCGTTGCCCTGCCCTCCAGAACTGTCGCTACAGACCCAACCCAAGAATTTCGGGCAGCCATGGTTCTCATTCAACCCATATGGGATATTCTTCAGTTGACTTGAACACCCCCCCTGGAACTCCCCCCCCCCCCCTGGAACCCCCACCTGCCTCTCCCACTCTTACCCCCTTCCTCTCCCCTTTCCCCTCCCCTTCATTCTCCCCCCCAGAACTACCGCTACAGGCCCAAGAACTGCGGGCAGCCATGGTTCTCATTCACCCCTCTGGCGGATGTTCTGAGTTGACTCAAAGCCCCCTTGACTCTGCGCCTGTCTCTCCCCGTCACGCCCCCCACTCCTCTTGTTTTCCCCCAGAGCTACCGCTACAGGCCCAAGAACTGCGGGCAGCCATGGTTCTCATTCACCCCTCTGGCGGATGTTCTGAGCCCCCTTGACTCCCCTTGACTCAAAGCCCCCTTGACTCTGCGCCTGTCTCTCCCCGTCACGCCCCCCACTCCTCTTGTTTTCCCCCAGAGCTACCGCTACAGGCCCAAGAACTGCGGGCAGCCATGGTTCTCATTCACCCCTCTGGCGGATGTTCTGAGCCCCCTTGACTCCCCTTGACTCAAAGCCCCCTTGACTCTTGCGCCTGTCTCTCCCTGTCACGCCCCCCACTCCTCTTGTTTTCCCCCAGAACTACCGCTACAGGCCCAAGAACTGCGGGCAGCCATGGTTCGCATTCAATCCTCTGGCCTTCCTGCAACGGATGAGAAACAGGTGAGCGCTGGTTGGTGGGAGGGAACCTAGGCGATCAGGGGGAAGGGAAGCTTGCGAGGCGCTAAGTTAAGTTGTTGTAATGCTTTTCCACTACGAGCGGGCAGCCATGGTTCTCGTTCAGCCGTCTGGTTCTCGTTGAGCCGTCTGGTTCTCGTTGAGCCGTCTGGTTCTCGTTCAGCCGTCTGGTTCTCGTTCAGCCGTCTGGTTCTCGTTGAGCCGTCTGGTACTCGTTCAGCCGTCTGGTTCTCGTTCCTGCAACGAATGAGCAACAGGTGAGCAGAGTTGAGTAGCCTAGAACGCATGGCAGGTGGTGGTGGGTGGGGGGCTGGGGGGAGTGGGGGGGGGTGGGGGGTGGGGGTGAAGTAGGTCAGGGTTGCGGGTAATCCAGGAATAGTTCGGTTCAGAGCAATTCAGTATAAGCTTTGCATTACGGAGAGGTGTACACTGATGGACATCTGAATGTTACATGGATTTCATTCGGCAGAGATTTTTTTTTTTTTTTTCCCCTCTCCTATCTGGCAGGGTGTTTGCCTCAGTGGGCGACTCGCTCTCAGTCAGCAATCTCATGCCGTCGCTGCTGTGTCAGGTGAGCGGCCATTGCTGTTGTTGGCCTCTAGTCACTACTTTTGCTCACAGTAATCGTGGAAACAAATGGGTTTTTGCTTGTTGGTTGATGAACATGCAACACGAATTGTGTGTTTTGAGTCAACTCAAAACACACATGGGTTTTTGCTTGTTGGTTGGTTGGTGGTGAACATGCAACACGAATTCGCCCTCCCCCCCCCCCCCCTTCCCCCCCCTTTCCCCCCCCCCCTTCCCCCCCCCCCCCCCCCCCCCCCCCCTCCCCTTCCCCCCTCCCCACCTTTGTTGTTCTGTCTCTTTTAGTAGCCCTCCCTTCTCATAAGCCACATCTTCGCTTCATCATAAGCCTACTTTTCTGCCCTGCTTTCCTTGGTTGTTTTGTCTCTTTGGTTTTATTTCCATGCTTATTGCAGCTACACCAAGTATCTCCAGTGACGGAAATTCCAAACGACGGCACATACGCAAAAGAAGGCCCACCCACCAAAGTGTACCGAGTCAAAGCATTCAATATCACCTTAGTTAACACGTGGAGCACATTTCTTAACGAGTACTGGCAAGACGAGCAGGTGAGGACACGTGTACTGGTAAGCCAGTGAAGCATATTGTTCCATCCAAGCCCAAACCATCATCCACAGCAGAGGATTTTTTTTTTTAATTATTTTTTTTCACAGAACCAAATTGCCTTTCCCTGTCCTGCTCTCTGCCAAAATTTACTCACCACTGCATATCTTTCCATTGTTCTGAAATTCCCTGGGCTCAACCCCTACACCCTCTTCCCACACCCAGACTGTTCAGCAGTACAACGGAGGTGTTCCCTTAACAGACGAGGATTCAGTGGTGAAGCTAGACGGGCTCGATGCGCAGTGGGTGATTGTGACAACCTTCAAGCTGAATTCTACCACACACCGCATGCCCCCTTGTCACTCTCTCTCTTTCCCAGACGGTCCAGCAGTACAACGGAGGCGTTCCTTTAACCGAAGAGGATTCAGTGGTGAACCTTGATGGGCTCGATGCCCAGTGGGCGGCGTATATCGGGCAGTATGACGTGCTTATATTGCAGACGCAGGCGCATTGGCAGTCCACCAAGTATAAGTGGCGGCGATTCTGGGTGAACAGTACGGGGGATCAAATCTTTAACGAGTCGAGATTCCTTGCTGCTTTTGAGTAAGTGAGATGTTTTGGGGAAGAGAAAATATTTGGTCTCAATGCCTTTTTTTTTTAAGTTATAGTGAATGAGAAAGATTTTATGTTGTTACAATTTGATGTGCAGGTATGGCATGGAAGCAATCAAGATGCTCCTCGACCAACCAGAGGCGCCGATCACTTATTTTATTTCTGCCCCAGCGAGATTGGATGGATGCAAGGCACTGAAGGCACCATATACAGATGCCCAGGTATTTCATAATACAACGATAATGTGCTTCACAGGCGCAACATATCCATAAAAAAAAAATGCCATTTCAGATACACTAAAATGTTTCCCTTCATGCTGATGTCTTCGTACGCACATGCAGGTCGCAACTATTCGCAAGAATAACCGTCAGTTCGTTGCTTGGTTGCCACTGCAACAAAGGGCATTTACGGGCACACGGATACGAGTGATAGATGTTACAACATCGTCCCTTTATAGGCCAGATGCCTTTGTTGGATCCGGGGGGGTGAATAAGGATTGCTTACACTGGTGCCTTCCAGGCGTTCCTGATTGGTGGGTTGCCATGGTCAATCACTTTTTGGCCAGTGAACCCACATTGGCAGCATAGTTGGTAGTAATTGACGACTAAGCAAGTTTTTAGTATCGTTTCGCAAGTTATTACAAATGATTTAATCAAATGCACTTCCTACAAGTTGAAATAGCAAGCAAATTGTGATGCGTGCGCGTCGCACAGTTTTTCGTCGTCGTTAGTCAACCGCGCACCGTCGTGCGATCGAAGCGCCCCAAACCATTGTATCTCTGTGTTACCAGCTTGACGATCGTATATCTGTCGTTTTCCTCGCATGGTCCTCAATTCGTGATCACACCCGACGCATTTTCCTGTTCTCACCGTGCTTTGCGAGGAAAGCGAAGCGAGAACCAGATGGTCGTCGGCCAATCGCCTGTCGCTACACTGTCGCTAACCTCAGTCAATTCGAAGACTGTCTCAGCAGTGACTCACGCACCACCCAATCGGATCAGGCAGTCGGAACTGCTCTTAGTAGCTCAAAAGTCGACCTGCACATAATCTCCAGTCAGCAGTAACTCACTGTCGCGTCGCGTGGTAACTGCTCTCGTCTGACGACGAGTCACCATACAGACTGTCTCAGCTCGCGAATATTACCGAACCGTTATCGTATTTGACTGAACAATGCGAGTCGACCTTACTATGAACTTGCGATCTTCCCGGAATTTTGTCACCGAGTAACCCGGTGCTTTCGCGAATGGCGACTTCTCGTCGACCAACCGTCCATTTAGAGTCGCACATCGAACTATCTCGTCCCCTAGCGCGTCATTCGCTAATAACGCATCGTCTTCTAACCCACCTTCTCGAAACGCGTCGTCATCTAACGAATCGCTTCCTTACGCACCACAATCACGCTCCCTCTTCACTTAACGCCGCCACGCTCCTTATTCTGTTGGTTCTAGCAGCTTCCCTACCCCTATGGAGTCACGCGGGCACCGTCGAGAAGGTGACTACAGCGAGGGTGACAGATACAGAAATTATTACAGCGAGGGTGACTCGTAAGAAGGTGATTACAGCGAGGTGCAACTACTCCGTCGGCCAATGGCTGCCCGTGACTCCCGCCATGCAGCACGGCGCGTATGGCGCCGACTGCCCTTTCCTCAAGGTGCGCCGCAGTCTGCCCCGCAAGTTCCCCTTAGTGGTTCCCACCATCCAGCACGGCGCGTGTCGCGCGAATGCGGCCGCATTTCGCGCTGCCACGGACCTCTCTCCTTGAAGGAGCAATTTAGCTTTGAACCCAGGACCGCTTCCGCGCCCATTCCCCGCTCCATTACCCCGCGCCCATTTTCCGCTCTAATTTTTGCGCCCGTTCCCTGGTCCTTCTCCCCGCGCCCGTCCCCGCTCCAATTCCCCGCTCCAATTCCCCGCGCCCATTCCCCCGCTCCAATTCCCCGTGCCCATTCCCCGCTCCAATTCCCCGCGCCCATCCCCCGCTCCAATTCCCCGCGCCCATTCCCCCGCGCCCATTCCCCGCTTCCATTCCCCGCGCCCATTTCCCGCGCCATTTCCCGCACCCATTCCCCGCGCCCATTTCCCACACCCATTCCCCGCCCGCCCATTTCCCACACCCATTCCCCGCGCCCATTTCGCGCACCCATTCCCCGCGCCCATTTCCCCGCTCCGCGCCATCCCCGCGCCATTCCTTAGTGTCACACCCTCCTGGTACGGCGCCCAACGATTGGCTCTGCAGCCTTCACTCCCCCCCCATTCCCGTCTCCCTCTTCCACTTCTTCCCCTCTTCCCTTCCTTTTCCCATTTTCCTCTGGAGAGGGCACTGCTCCCGTAAGCTGTCTAATCAGCAAGCCCAAGCGATGTCTGCAACGCCTAACAATTGAAATACTTTTGAGAAATTTCAAAAGTGCAACGCCTAACAATTGCCTCATCAGACTTCTCCCTCCACCCTCCTCCCCCCCCACCCCCCCACCCCTCCCTCCCCCCCCCCCTCCCCCTTTCCCCTCTTCCCTTCCCATACCCCTCCCCCCCAAAACCCCGTATCCTTCCTTGTCTTCTTTCCATGCAGGGCATCGGACCTGTAAGCTGTCTTTTTAACAAGCACAAGCTATCCTCGCCACGGCGCGTTGACAAGTGACTCAACAACCCTCACCCCCCCTCTCCCCGCCCGCCCCCTCCCCCTTTCCCCTTTCATTCCTGTTGTTGTCTTCCCTGCAGGGAATCGGACCTGTAAGCTGTCTTTCCAACAAGCACAAGCGGAGGTTTTGCACATTTTTGAGTCGACTCAAAAATACCCCTCCCCCCAAAACCCCGTATCCTTCCTTGTCTTCTTTCCCTGCAGGGAGTCGGACCTGTAAGCTGTCTTTTCAACAAGCACAAGCGGCCATTCCCGTGGCTGGTGGGTTTTTGCACATTCGCTGTTATGAAACTTGCAGTGAAAACAATCAAGTCGGCTACTGTAGAGACGCTTGAAGGGAATACATGTGAACTGGCCAAACCAGCATGTGCCTTTATATCGAGTACAGCAGCTGCTTCAATAACGAGCCTGACTGCCCCTGCTAGTGGCTAGTGTCTGTTGGCAAGGAACCCGTTTTAAGCATATCCGCAAAGAGAGGGACATCATTGTAGAAATTCAGCCTCGTGCTTTTCTTCTTCTTTCCTCCTCTCTCCTCCTCTCTCTCCTCCTCTTTCTCCTCCTCTCTCTCCTCCTCTCTCTCCTCCTCTTCCGCCCTCCCCTCACTACAGAGGTACCGCTGGCAGCCAACAGGGTGCCTCACGCACCTCTTCTTCCGCCCCAGCCTCTTTTTGGGGCTCATGAGAAATAAGTAGGAGTATGCCAGTGGGGAAAGGGTGATATGAGGGGAGGGCGGTGGGAAGGAGGGGAGAGAAGTGTTGGGTGAAGAGAAGAGAATTAGTGAGTGAGGATAGAAATAGAAAGAGTTGCGCGTTCTTGTGTGCGTGCGTGCGTGTGCGTGTGCGTGCATGTGCGCGCACACATACATATTCTCGTTTTTTCCCCAGAAGCCCCATGAAATAGTGGTGTTTTGAGTCGACTCAATCAAAACACATCCCATCTTTTCCCCAGAAGCCCCATGAAACAGTTTTGTTTTTTCCAAGCGTTCGCCTCCGCCCTCTTTGTACGTCCCCTCTATCCAACCCACCCTCGCTCTCCTTACTCTATATCGTTCCTTGCCCTCTCTCTCATTCAACTTTTGAGACGTCTCAAAAGCCCTTACTCTATATCGTTCCTTGCCCTCTCTCTCTCATTCAAGCCACTTCCCTTCTTCTACTTTTGAGTCGACTCAAAACTCGCCTCTATCCAACCCACCCTCGCTCTCCTTACTCTATATCTTTCCTTGTCCTCTCACTCATTCAAGCCACTTCCCTTCTTCTATGCAATCTTCCTCCCCCACTCGTTCTCCCTCAGGGTGTTTGCATCAGCAGGCGATTCCCTCTCCTACTTCAATTTCATTCCGTCCCTTCTTTGCCAGGTGCTTTCCTTTGGCCTGCCTATTTCCTTTCCATTAGTGCCTATTACGGTAGCTGAAGGAAATCTCCCCTCCCCCCCTTCTCATCCGTCCCCCTTTCCCCCCCTCCCCTTCCCCCCCTCTCTCCTGTTTTCCCTCCCCGCCCCCTCCTCTTCCCCCCCCTCCCTCTGTGTCTGATGCTAGTTACACCAAGCCTCCCCAGTGCATAGCATTCCAGTTCCCCCTCGTCTCGCTCCCCGCATCAGCCTAGTCTACCACGGGCCACAATACAATGTGACTATAGTGAACACCTGGAGCACGTTCCTCAACCAGTGCAGGCAGGACAAACAAACCCTCGCTAAATACAATAAAGGCCGCCCGGTCACACCAGAGGATTCAGTGGTGAATTTGGAGGGCGTGGATTGGCGGTGGGGGCGGTACTTAGCTAAGTATGACGTGCTTTTGCTGCAGTCAGCGGCGCACTGGCAGCCGAAACGGACGAGGTGGCGCCGGTTCTTTACCGACAGGCGGGGGCGAGTTGCTTATAACGAATCGCGCTTCTATCGCGCGTTCCGGTAAGGTGCCTGCGCATGCATTTTATCATACCTCTCGGGCCTGGTGCCCCTAAATCATGTACACCAAAGCACTTTTGTGTGTTCAGGTATCTACACTAATCTGCCGAGGGGTTTCCCATTCTTTATCCCCCACAGGGCTGGCATGCAGAGTGTGAAGAAGCTGGTGGATCGGGCCAATGACAAGGCGACACGTGGCAGCAGCAGCAACAGCAGCAGCAGAAGCAGCAGCAGCAGTGCTGGTGGTTCTGCTGCTGCTGCTGGTAACAAGTGGCCTGTGGTGTTCTTTTTTTCTGCTCCCACAAAGCAGAGTGGCTGTGCTGCTTCCTTCGAGCCTCGCACCGAAGGAGAGGTGAGAGACAGGGTGGACCAGCGACCAGGAGGGAGGGAGGGAGGGAGGAAGTGGTAAGGGTCAGTGAGAGAGAGGAAGGAAAGGAAGGGGTGCTCACACAACACAAAGCGGCTGTGCTGCTTCCTTCGAGCCTCACACTGTGGGAGAGGTGAGAGACAGGGGGTGGAACAGCGGTCAGGAGGGAGGGAGGGAGGATGGAACAGGTATGGGTCTAAGAAAGAGGTAGAGACACTGGCTCTTCATCCCCAAATTTCAGGTTGTTGTTGGTGTTGGTTTTTTTTTGTTTTTTTTTTTTTTGGTTAATAATAATAATTTCAAATTACATAATTAATTAATCCCCCCGATTAACTCAAACCATACCGTTGCACAAATCCTTCAACCCCATACTTCAGGTTTCCATTTACCGCAAGCGGAACCCACAAACGTCCAAATGGCTGCCTCTTCAGCGCAAGATCTTCGCCCAATCACACATACACCTTATAGACGTGACCTCCGCCTCGGTATACCGCCCCGACGCGTTTGTTGGGTCAGGCGGCGTAAATAAGGATTGTGTACACTGGTGCCTCCCTGGGGTTCCGGACTCTTGGGTTGCGATGGTGCTCGGAGCCATGCTTCAAGAGCGCCGATTGGTCGGAACAATAGGAAAAATAGCACCTCTTCCAGGTGTAGGTGGTGGTCTAGGAGTGGGTAAAGGGCTGCCTTATAGGGTGGATGACAGGCTCCCTGATGAGGAGGTGAGATTTGACGAGAGGAAGAGAACGAAGGGAAAGGGGGATGGGGCGCTGGATCTTATAGCAAAGAAGAGGGAGAGCATGTACTTCCATTTTCATAAACACAAAGCTCATTTATAGTTTGCGTACAATGTGTTTGGTACTCTACATGTTCTTTAAATCAGCAGCTGGGTCCTGACATTTGTGGGTGATGGTTCTTTTCAAACCAGCGGATCCCCATCTCAAGTTGTTATGGTTTCTGAAGATGTACATAACGGAATGGTGAGGTGAAATGTACAGAATTATGTTACGACTCCAATTGGATTTTCGGTTTGGTTGAACGTGCCCGAACCACCGCCCATACAAACGCGTCTTCAGTTGAGTTCGTTGGCTATCCGTTCCAGCGTGGTCAACTGGGCAGCTGGCCCAGCTGGTGCGTTGGTTCGCTGGCTGCCAGTGCTACCAACCACTCCCAGCCAGCCTAGAAAATCTGACAAAAAAACCTACGGACTTTCCCGCCAATACAGTAGTCAGTATCGACAGTATCGACCTTGGGAAGTTTGACTGCGGGCTAGTCCCGCTGTTGCAGCGTGAACTTTTGTACGCATGGAAGAAAAATAGTTTTGTCACACCACCGCCTCAATTCAGCCCTCAAAACCCATAGTCTTGTTAGCCCCGAACACCAGCTGGTTGGGACGAGGAACCGAAAAGCGAAGTCACTTGAAACAACCGAATAATGCGTAGGATTACTCGACTTTTTTCATAAACGATATCCTCCACGGCAATAAAATCAGCCAAGTCTACACCAAGCTCCTAGCAATCTGGGGAAACATGTGACCCCAGCGAAGTTGGATGTCAGAAACAAGAACTGGTTGGGCTACTCTCTCTGCTTCCGGGCAACTACAAAACGAAGTGAATCGAGTTTGGAAACAGAGCTACCACGGTCCACCACGGGATCTAGGCGTCGACGACGACCCGCCTCAACCCAAAACCACTCACGTGGTTACACCAGCAGCTTGGGCGAAAACCGTGTGCGGTTCGACCTTACGCGACGAAGCTTTCCGCAGTGCTAGCGACAACTATTTCGCCAACGCAGCGTGGTTCACTCGTCGCATCCGGAACAGTCTCCCCATACAGTATTCTGGGAACCTTCTCCTGTCTGATCCCTGCCAGCGAAACCTGCCAGAAGCACCGACGCTGAATCGTCTCACCAAGTGCTGTACTCACCCACACTCCACTGGCGTATTTACTGTGGACAGGGCTGAGTGAGATGTTGTCGATGTGGAGACTGGTCACTTGTTTGAGCCTGCGTGAAGAGTTTGTCGATGTGGAGATGTGTATTTACACACCTAGCACATAGTCGAAGTGTCCTGATGGGCGTGTCGCTGAAAGTGGATTATTCGTCAACACCATAAGATTTTTACAAATATTCAGGCTGTAAAAACATCACTAAGATACCTTGACGCTCGATGTCGTCGAGGTGAATTTCCGAGGTGAGAAAAAATGCGGGGAGGATCCTCATGATAGCCTGGCATCCTGTCACTGTTTGAATACAGTGTTTCCACGCAGGGCCAATATTTCATTTTTGAAGGCACGGAAGGCTTCGGGTTCGCCCAGAAAATACCCCGAATCATCAGCATTTCCTCAAAAGTTTCCCTTCCGTCCGTGTGTTTTCCCAAATCCGAAAATGTACAGCAGCAGTTCTTACCCTAGGCGCAAGAGGCTCTAAAACGTCCAAGTTGAAGGCAAGGACCAACAAACCCAACACTTATGCCTGACGGCATCCATCGGCATCGTTGCATTCGACATCCCACGCAAGAACTAGTACCGAGCTTAAATCTCTCGATTGTTTTCGAAGCAACACTTCAGTTCCCGAACGCTCGGCCAAATCATCCGGAAATGGTCCGGATGATTTCAAGAACGATCCTGATGAATCGGGATTTACCAACAAAATATTTACGGAATGTAACTGATTTTCAGAGTGTCACCCTCGGAGAGCCTTGTTTCCACGTCAGTATGTCTGCACAGTGTTTCCCCCTTCCAAGCCGCCCGATTAAGCGACTACTGCACTGTACACTTTCCTACTCTTCCACCTCCTTTTGTTGAGCTCCTTCCATTTCAAGCAATATTGCCAATTTGAGCCTCCAGCTTTAGCATTCCAGCAGATTAGGGCTTCCGAGTTCTTTGTTACCTTCAGCCGCTATCAGCAATCTAAGTTGACACTTCTAGCAGCCCTTCAGCACCCATATTTCCGTTACTAGCTTCTACATAGTTGCTTCAACCAAAAAGGTTGAGAAAGATTCCGAATACAAAAAAAATCCGCTAAGAAAAAATCCACGAAATACTCAGTTTTGGAGTACACTGCCAGTGCGGCATGGGAACCTTGAGCGGAGGCAGAGGCGACGCTGCTTGCGACCCACTCTGGCCACCAGAGTCGTCGCGTCCCTCCTTGAAACACATTGAAGAAGACTCTGGTCGCTTTCGCTGGCAGAAAGTCTCACATAAGTGGCTCTGCCAACGGACTGTGAAAAGGTGAGTCTCGGAATGTCTTCCATCTCCTTATTCGTAAGTGTGAATCCCCTTTATTCCCTGGCGATGACAAAACCGCCGGCGAATCGCAACCCAAGATTTTCTGGGGTGGTTCTCCTCATTTTTAACCGTTAAAGTGGTACCACTTTATCGTCATTTCTCCTCCATGCGCCCCTCCATCTACCTGTCTCCCAGTATCCTACCAAAGGCCTATATCGCGTGTTTGCGCAAGGCCGAGTTTAACGCAAAAACTAAATTCCTTCCTCGCCCTCCCACAATTCCCCACCCTAACCCATCCTCCCCCATCTCCCTCCCCCCCCACCCTCTTCCCCCCCTTCCTCGCCTCCCCCCACTCCCCAGGATCTACTTCACGTGTGTGTGCAAGGCCGTCACGGGATGCACGGCACGGAAGGTGGAGGACCGCATCGCCGGCCCGCCCCGCGGCAAGCACACCGCGCCACCCGCCGCCCCTGCTGCTACTGCTGCTCCTACTACCACCTATGCGGCCGCGGTTACTTCTGCCGATGCTGCTGATGCTGCCGATGATGCTGATGATGCGGCTGCCCCTGCTACGGAGGATGAAAGCCCCGCACACCGTCCTGAGCGCATGGAGATGCGCAAGGTGATACGCGTGACCACCTCGGGCTTCCACAACCACCCTTCCACTTTCTGTCTCAAGCGCCGCCGCCGCACAGATGCCGCAACAAACGCCATGGCTGCACCTTTTCAAGAAGGGACTACATCTGCAGCCCCCCTAACCGCCCTTCTGAAGCCCCGCGGTGACCCAGCTTATGCGAGTTCGAAAGGTCCTGAAGTCCCTTCCTCTGCCTCGCGCAAAGAACCACTTACGGCAATCCCTCCGTTCACTCCCCACGTGCAGTCGCGCGGCAATCCCAATGCCGCGATCCTGTCTGCAACTAAACCACTCACTGACCTCATGCCCTCCTATGTATCCTTCAGTGAACCCAAGGGCGCTTGCGCTGCCCTTGCGCCTGCAGTCCTCTCGCAGAGAAGCGCCGGCACAGCACTGGGGAGGACCTTCGGAGATCTGTACGAGCAGATCATGGCGCTTGGCAAAGAAGAGCCGGCAGAAACCGGCCAAGCGGAGGGGAAACTGACCTTCCAACTTGACGAGGAGTTACGCTTCCGTGCCGGGGAGGGGATGAGTTATCTGCCGGAAGAGTTCGGGTATCGGACCGGGGAGCTGAGCTACGAGGCTTCAAAGCGGCAGAGGGCAGCGCCGGTGAACGCTGAGGCGGATGGTCCCATGGTGGAGAGCCCCAGCGGCAGCTGCTGCCAGGATGACCCACTCTGGCCTGCTGCTGGCAGCCGTGTGCCTGCTCCACACTTCTCAGCCGTGCCTGCTCCACGCTCTTCAGGCGCTACCTGTGCTTTTGAGAGCTCTCAAAGGACATCGTCAGATAGCCACGACGGGCTGCCTTGGCCTGCTGGAAGCTCTGCGTCTGCTCCGCACTTGTATGCTGGGCCGGTCTGGTCTGCTGCTGGCGGCAATGCATCGTTCTTCCCTCGGCTGTCCGCAACGACCTGCGCCACTCAAGGGATGCAGCACCAGAGCAACCTTGGACTGCCATGGCGTTTTCCGAACCAGTTTCCGAACCCAGCAGGTCTGGCTGACCCGGCAGGCCCGGAAGAGTCATTCGAACCAGCAGAAGAAACAGCACCAGCCATTTCGACAGCCGCGGTTCCACGAAACTGGCAGGTTCCCGCAAGTGCCAAGGTTGGCGAAAGCAGCAACCGCGACGTATCATTGCTGCTGGGGGAGCCACTGACGCCGGCTGAGTGGGAGATTGTGCTCTCAAGGATGGCCCAGGGACAACAGCCGTTGGATAAGGGAGTGCAGCAGCAGATGAACGGTGTGGATGATAGTAGCAGTGCATGCGTGCACACAGCTAAAGGGGTTGGCCTCTCCATCAGCAGCAGCAGCAGCTTTGTTTATGCTCCAGGCACGGCGGGCCTGGCTCGTGCTGCAAGTTTGGGCTCAGGTAATTCTGAGTCGCTTTTGAGAATTCTCAAAAGCGACTCAGAATTGGCTCGTGCTGCAAGTTTGGGCTCAGGTGTTGCTGGTGGCGCTGCTGGGAGCGATGCTGCTGTTGATGATGCTGCCGTGGCCAATGCTCCGGCTACTATGGTGGCAGGAAGCATGGATTTCGACATTGCTGTTGCTTCTGCTGCTCCTCCTGCTCCTGCTCCTGCTCCTGCTGCTGCTGCTGCTGTGCCCAACGCAGCAGATGTGCTGCGTGTGTTGGAGGCTTGGGGTGACCTCGCCTTTGCTTCTCAGACTGACATTGTTGGTTCTGTCCTGTCACCTGCTCCTGCTGCTGCTTCTAAAATTGTTCCTGATTCGATGCTCGCGCAATTTGCAACTGGCTTACCAAACACTATGGACGCTGCACCGTTGGATCAACTGGCCGAGATAAACAATGAGGTGAGCAGCATAGTGTTTGTTTGTTTTGTTGTTGTTTTTTATGTATATTTATGTATATGTATACAAAAATTGGGCTTCCCTTTATACTAGAGACGTTTTTCTTCTTACCGCTCTCCTGCTGACACCCTGCCACCTCCTGTGGATCTTATTATTGCAGTTTATGGAGAATGAAGACTCGGCACTGCCTTGCTCGACCTATCCTGCCCCAACCTATCCTGCACCAACCTGTCCAACCCCGGCTTGTCATGCCCCGGTCTATCCTGCCCCAACCTACTGCTTCCCATCAAGACCTGCCGTAGCTTATGCTGCCACAGCCCAGCGTGGCCTACCCTGTCCTTCACCATCCCAGCACACCCCATCGCATCACACTTCCTTCCACCGCACACCATCCCGTAACACCCTGTGCCATCGCACCCCATCGCATGAGCCTCAAGCTGCAAATCTGCTTTCAGCAGGACCGCCGTTACAGTCGCCTGAAGATATGGCCCCAGCAAGATCACCGCTAGAGGCAGCTGCGAATCTGGTGTCAGCAAGGCGACTGCTACAGTCGCCTGAAGATATGGCCCCAGCAAGATCACCGATGCAATCATTTGCGGATCTGATGTCAGCACGATCTCTGCTACAGTCGCCTGCAAATCTGCTCTCAGCAGGACCCCCGCTACAGTCACCTGTGGATCTAGTATCAGCAAGATCTCTGCTACAGTCGCCTGCAAATCTGCCGCTGGCAACGCCACCGATACAATCACTCGCAGATTCGGTTTCAGCACAATCACCGTTGCAATCACCTGCAAACCTGCTGGCAGCAGGACCACCGATACTGTCACCTGCGTGTGTGCTGCCAGCAGCACCACCGCTACAGTCACCTTTGTCGCTTTCACAGGTGGAAATGTTACAATCGTTCAATCGGTCGCCGTCACTCAATGCACAGTCCATGGACTTGCTTCTGTGGCAGCTCGAGGCAGAGCTTCAAGCGTCAAGCCTTGTTGTGCCACCAGCAGCAGCCGCAGCACCACCAGCAACAGCCGCAACACCAGCTACAGCAGCAGCAGCAGCAGCAGCAGCAGCAGCAGCAGCAGCAGCAGCAGCAGCAGCAGCAGCAGCAGCAGCAGCAGCAGCAGCAGCAGCAGCAGCAGCAGCAGCAGCCACCAGCGGCAAGACAACCACCAGCAGCAGTACCACCAGCACCCGCAGCACCAGCACTGGCAGCAGACGAGCCAAAGGATCTCCCTGTACCGACCCAGGCCGGCATGCATATCCCGAGCCTGGCTGTAGCAGCACCAGAAGCCATGGAAACAGCATTGCTACAGCCTTACCTTTCGGGTCAAAAGCAAATTCCATTCTTGCAGCAGCAGGAAGGGCCTTGTGATGATGGTCGAAAAGGCTTGGGAGGCGGACAGATGGCCATGTGTGACGGTGAAGGAGGCATCTCTGACAGTCAATCCGGCATGGGTGGTGTTCAAGCGGGTATGGAGTCAACCCGTTATGAGCAACCGGACAGGGAGAACTCCATCTTCCGCTTCCCGGAAGATGGCGGGAGGGAGCTTGCAGATTACGACAGATTACTCGATTTAGTGGCCGCCCATAACAATAGCCTATTTGAGTGGCCGGTGCTGGCTCAGCCTCTGGATGAGTTTTGGCTAGAGAACGTTCCTTTCACACACTTGAGTTGATTAGAGGCGCGGTGATGAGCGGTGTAGACAGTAGCTATGTATTCCATTTGTTCGCAATGTACGGTATTTGTTTGTTCAACGTCTACACATGGATAAGGAAAGTGTATGTGCTTTAGCTTAATGGAGCATGCATGTGTGATTTTCAAAAAGAGCTGCAAGGCTTTAGGCTTTAGGACGCAAAGGCTGCAGCAAGGCTTGAGGCATGCAAAGCTAGCACAACAGAAAGCTGGAGAGTGATGAGTTTGTCACGTGTGATGAGGTTGTTTTTGAGACGTCTCAAAAACAACCTCATCACACGTGGCTCTCACTTGAGGCATGCAAAGCTAGCACATCGGAAAGCTGGAGAGTGATGAGTTTGCTAACCCGAAGCTCCAATTACACTTCCCTTCCCAGCCACTCCCTATAAAAAACCCTGGTCTGCGTTTGAAATGCAGCTCAGTCTTGCACACAAAAAGGCGTCTTATACAGGTGTACATATGGTAAGGTGTTACATATGGTGCCCACTGCACTCTGAACAAGCCGTGCAGGGTCCAGCCCCTGTTTTGTTTGGCTGGCATCAGAAGGTTATGTTAGATGTGAGTGAGCATTTTGAATTTCCGAGGCCTGGTGGCAACTCTAAGACTAACACAAATACACAATCCAGGGTACGTTTTGAATGACTGGTACAACTGCTGAATCAGCTTCTCTAATACCTCTTATGGCAACAAAAGCATGTTACAGCTAGCAGGTGCATAACATCCATAGACCCAGCAGAATATCCTGTTTGTTAGCTACAGTAAGACCACGAGATCAGCTACACCCATAGGGCGGGCGCGCAGCAATCCGCGTGAAATGAGTCGACTCTAAACACGACTCATTGCGCGCGGCGCTCAGCAATCGCCTCGCGGTCAGCTATGGGCGGAACACAGGCACACAGAGACCCCAAAGCCCACTCCTACAGATCCGAAGAGAGATCTCTCTGCCTGTGCCCACTCCCCAAAGCTCACATACACGCTACGAGCTGACTTTAAAGTCGACTCAAAAGGCGGCTCACATACACGCTACACCCACTGCCCTCCCGATCAGCTGCGGGCAGAGCGCAGGCACACATAGACCCCGAAGTCCACTCCTACAGAGACGAAGAGAGATCTGTCTGTCTGTGAGGCGGCTCACATACACGCTACGCCCACTGCTCTCCCGATCAGCTGCGGGCGGAGCGCAGGCACACGTAAACCCCGAAGCCCACCGCTACAGAGATGAAGAGAATCGCGAAACTGATGAGCAGCCAGGTCCACCAGGCGAGGCCACTGGAGCACGAGTAGCTGCAGCTGGCAGACACGTAGGCTGCGAGGGGTGGAGGGGAAGAAAAGAGAGAGAGGGGGGAGTTGATGGGAAAAAGTGAGGAGTGCTGTGCGGTGTAGGGATGAGCAGCCAGGTCCACCAGGCGAGCCCGCTGGAGCACGAGTAGCTGCAGCTGGCAGACACGTAGGCTGAGAGGGGTGGAGGGGGAAGGGGAATGGGTGAAAGGAAGAGAAGGAGGAGTTGATGGGAAATGTGAGGAGTGCTGTGCGGTGCAGCAAGAAGCAGCCAGGGCCACCAGGCGAGGCCGGGCGAGCACGAGTAGCTGCAGCTCGCCGACACGTAGGCTGAGAGGGGAGCGAGAGCGAGAGCGAGGGGGGAAAAAATGGGAGAGAAGGAGGAGTTGAGTGAGGTACAAGGTGTGATGTGGGGTCGGAACCAGCAGCCAGGCCCACCAGGCGAGGCCGCTGGAGCGTGAGTAGCTGCAGCTTGCCGACACGTAGGCTGAGAGGGGAGTGAGAGCGAGAAGGGAAAAAATGGGAGAGAAGGAGTTGAGTGAGGATACAAGGTGTGATGTTGGGTCGGAACCAGCAGCCAGGCCCACCAGGTGGAGCGAGAGTAGCTGCAGCTCGCCGACACGTAGGCTGAGAGGGGAGGAGGAAGTGGGGGGAGGAGGAGAGGGGGGAAGGGTTGGCAAGGGGAAGGGGAGAACGGGAAAGAGGGAAGAGTTGATGGAGAAGGTGGGGTAGAATAAGCAGCCACGGCCACCATGCGAGCCCGCTGGGGCACGAGTAGCTGCAGCTGGCATGGACGTAGGTTGACAGGGGAGGGTGGATGGGTGGCAAGGGGGACGTAGAGCGGGAAGCAAGGGAAAGTATGAAGAGCTGATGGGGAATGTGGGGTAGAATTAACAGCCACGCTCACCAGGCAAGGCCACTGGAGCACGAGTACTAGGTGCAGCTGGTAGAGACGTAGGGTGAGAGGACATTGGGGCGTGTGGGGAGCGCGGAGGCATTGGGGCGCGTGATGAGTCTGAGATATAATCATCACGCGCTGTACCGGTGTACGAAGCTCATAATCACCGGCACACACCATACTCGCCGTTACTCGTTATACCTTGTTATGCTCAACCCAGAGTCACCCTCACCACTGGAGTTCAAGGTGACTTTTGAGTCGACTCAAAAGTCACCCAGAGTCACCCTCACCGCCGGAATTCAACATCGTCCTCAGGAAACTGGTGGCACATCCGTAAGGTGTCGCGTACACTCCATACCCGCTATAATCTCTCGATAAGTACCCACAGTGACACTCACCACCGGAGTTCCAATAGGGCTGGAAGTAGGTAGCACATCCGTAGGGTGTCGCGTACCCGCAATTCTGTGGGGGAAGGCGGAAGGGAGGCGAGGGGGGCGGGGGGAATGGGCGGGGAGATGGGAGGGGAGAGAGAAGGATGGGGCCAAGTGGGGCATCCGTAGCGTGTCGCATACGCGCAGTTCTGGGGAGGGAGGTGGAAGGGAGGCGGGGGGGAGGCGAAGAGAGGGGGAGGGAGAAGGGTGAGGTTAAGTGCCATGTACGGGCAGTTTTGGTGGGGGGAAAGAGGTGGGAGAGGGAGAGTGTGGGGGGAAAGAGGGGGAAGAGGGAGAGAAAGGGGAAGCGGCGGGGGCGAAGGGAAAAGAGGGAAATCACTTTTAAGAATTCTCAAAAAGGAAAAGAGGGAGAGAGGGAAGCAGCTAAGTGGCACATCCGTAAGGCAGAGTGGGTATGTGCAGTTCTGTGCGGGGAGGCGAGTGGGAGGGAGGCGGAGGGGGGGAGGCGGAGCGGGAGAAGAAGCTAAGTGGCGCATCCAAACGGCGCATCCACGCGCAGCTCTGTGGGGGAGGCGGCGAGCGGGACAAAGGGGCCTCTTACGTTGCGCTGGTAAGCAGTCGGAATTTACGGGGGCGGTGCAGCCAACAGCGAGAAATGAGTCGAATCATAAAGAGGACGGGAGGGACAAAGAGAGCCTCTTACGTTGCGCTGGTACGCAGTCGGGAGCCGCGTGGTGTAGCGAGGAAACGAGTTTTGAGTGAGCTTAAAGAGGACGGAAGAGACAAAGGGATTTCAAAATGTTGCACTGCAGAGCGCAGTTCGAGTTGACGCGCGAGGTGCCGGAAACAGAAGTTTGAGCCAAACACTACAGTATTGGGGTCGGCTTATAAAGAGGACGGGAGAGACGAAAATGTTTTCTTATGTTGCACTGGAGAACGCGGTCCGAGTTACCGCCGAGAGTGCCGTTCTGGGAACCAATGGTTGACCCTAAGGGGCTGAATTGAAGAGGAAAAGACGAAGATGATTCTGAGCCAAAGATGATATTTCTTACGAGCGCGGTGCCGGGAACGGTTCACACGGCCCCGTGATACAAGGTTGGCTTCGAGACGTGTCACAAACCAACCTTCTCATAAAGGCCCGTGAGGGAACAGAGGACACGGCCCGTCCCGCCCCTCACACAGAGGAAGGGCGGACAAGGAGGAAGCGGAAACAGGAAAAGCAAAGGAGCGGGAAGAGAAGAGACGACGGTAAGCTTCTTACGTTGCACTGGACAACGCAGTCGCTGTTAACGAGCGCGGTTCCGGGAACGGTGCACACGGCGCCGCATTGCGCGGCAGCGTAGCTGACGAGGCACGACGCGGCAACCAGGAGCGAGAGGTACGTCACGGTATGCGATCGTTGCTTCATGGTTACGTGGCGATGGCTAAGTACGGACCAGTTGCGGAAGTCAGTTTCGCGGGGTCAAGAACTCGGGCAAAAGGAGGTAGGGAGGAGGATGGGTCGCTGATTGATTAGCTTGAGGGAAGTTGACAACGGATTACAGCGGGCTCCTGCAGTATGTTCTTAGAACTGTTCCTTGACGACTGCTAGAATGGGCGAGTGAAGATTCAAGCTCTCATTTGCACAGCAAGACCTGGCAATCCAGGTGCCCAGCCCATCGCCTATTTGTGCTCTCTGGTTAGTTCCATTTTTGGCTGAAACCCCACCCAACCCAACCAAGTAATCCAAGCCAGCATGAAGCGCATATTGACCGTTTTACAACAATGGAAAACTTACTAAACCGCAAAAAACTGCACTGGTTTGAAATTCCACCTGACACCAATCCAGCACGCCAAATCACAGCTCTCCCGAAGCATTTCAATTTCCCCCCATCACACGTTACAAGTATAGCCGAACCGCAAGCAGGGTGGTGGGGCTGGGACGTGGTTGGATGTTTCGGTTTAGCGGGAGGGGAGAGAGGTACTGTAGCGTGTGGCGGTTCGGCTCTTGGCGGGAAAAATGTTTCTCTCGATCCCCCACGTTGCTGCCATAGGTGTAAAATGCTCCAGAAGCGATTAGTGATAGTTGTGGGACTGACTATGGCAGGGATTTGCTGCAGCTGTTGGGGGTACTCGAGTTTGGTGCCCCATTTTCAAAGCTACAGCGATTACTTTCCATGCGTAATCCTGATATATGCTGGGAAACTAGGAAAGTAGGATGTTGAGAACTTGCTGAAAAGGCTTGTAATTTTCCAGTCATACTTTCATGTATGCTGCATTTTTAGGTTAATACGTTGATATTTTTCATCCAACTCATGTTGTATGTTATAGATTTTCAGCCAGGAGATTCCACAAAGCATTGATGAAAATGTATTAAAATGATAAATGGCGTTGAATATGGGCATAAAATATTAGTGCCCTTGGACATTGTAGAATCACTCTGAAAAAAGCATGACAACGATTTTCCTTCTGGAGAGCACTACAAGAAACTGTCGGTGCTGGGATTCGAGCCCAGGTCTCCACGGCCACAACGTGGGATTCTAACCACTAAACTACACCGACGTATCCATCTCATTGACAGAATTTATATATTTTATGTCGCACTCCAGTCTCTCCTGGATGTTGTCGACGATGTTGATGTGCGAAATCTGAGGAGATTCGCTGATTGGAGGAGCGGCAAATTCCCGCGCTTGCTGGGAACAGCAAGTGGCTGCTGAATTGTGTGCAGGATTGTACTACATTTTCTGTGTTCAATTATCGTAGAAGTCGATTAGGAGACACTAAGGGCGTGTAACTTTTTTCCGAACCGTCGTCCGGACTTTGGGCTGTCCGGACGACCCGTGTGGTTACAAATTTCGTCATAGCTCGCAAGGATTTTCGCCACTAATTTGGCGACGTCGCATAGGTACGGACGGTGTCTGACACTTTTGCAGGTTTTTGGCGCGTGGAAATTGTCCGTACAGTGTCCGAAGTGAAATCGGACCGTCCGACTCAGGCTTGCTGTCATTGGCGGCGAAAATATTGTACAGTGGCACAAGCGAGTCGCATGCATTTGTGTAAGAAAATAGCGAGTGCTGAGTAGCACTCGTAACCTGTCGTGTGTCGCGGAACATTTGGAAACACAAAAGTTCCACTTTTGAAGTACGGACGGGCCTATGTCCGGACCAAAGGCCCCAGACGTCCGTACCGAGGCTGTCCGGTCGCTTTAGAGGCGAGGTCCGGACATTTGCCGGTTCGGAAAAAAGTTACACGCCCTAACTAGAAATGCTTTCTTGTAGCAGCGAGTCATGACGTCATTCTCTGTGGCCGCAGTGACGGTTCCACGTCAATAATTGACGGAAGGCCTTTTTGCGATGTTTGATTTTGACCAACGTTCGCGCGGTTCGCTAACAATGCCGGCATCGCGCATTCGTGCGGCCTAATAAGAAGCTTCGGTCTGACAAAGCTGTACTCGCGCATTCGTCTACTCACCATAGTACCCATCTCGACAGCAGTGCGAATTTCGTAGTGGCGGGTGTAACCTGATCCATTCCCTGCCACGTGTCACCATCCGCCTGCAACCCTAGGACAATCCTTTCCCATGCCACGTGGCATCCCGTTACCAAGATGCCACCAATGGGGTGCGTTGGCAGCAGGGGCATGGAAGTCCCGGACCTCGATAGTAGTACCGAATACGACAGCAGCACCATCTCCCGAACCACGTCGCAGTCTTCCCGAGCCACCGCGCAGTCGCCGAGCCTCCAGGCTCGGCGGTCGGGACCAGCACCGTCCAGAGGCTTGGGAGGAGCGATGGGACAGCTGGCAGGAACGCCGCCAGTAAAGGTTCGTGGGGGGAAGGGGGGGATTTCATCAACAAAATTACGAGTTTAATTGATAATTGGGATGTCTCAAAACTCAATTTGCAAGTTTTTTTTGTGTATGAATGGCATGCTTGACAATTCTTATCACCGTTTGCCACGTCTGGTGTAGAATATTCCTGCTCTTGTTTCTATCCCAACCTTCCCGTTTGATCCGCGGCTGTGCAACGTTGATTGAATTTGCGACCCGTATTTTTGTGGTAACCCTAATTCGCCAGGACCTGCTAGACGTGTTCATTGACGAGGTGGAGAGTTCGCACAAGCGAAAGTCCAAGGGCAAGACGCACAGACTCAAGGGGTCAGCGGGAAAATCTGGGACAGCGGGGGAGGTTGGGGCAGGGGGGAAGGCTGGGGCAGCGGAAGAGGCTGCGGCAAACGGGGGGACTGGGCCAGAAGGAACGTTAGGGGCCGCAGGAGTTGGGGCAGCAGATATTGGGGCGTTGAGAGGAGGGGAGGAGATGGTAGGAGAAACAGCGGGGACGTCCCAGCGTGAGGAGGAAGAGGGGGGAGCAACAGACGGGCGGATGGTAGGAGAGGTGGAGGATGGTTTGGGACGGAGAGAGAAGGGCGGAGATATGACGTGCTTAGTAGATGAGTGCTCGATCTCAGCACCATCTATAGCAACAGCAACAGCAACAGCAACAGCAACAGCAGCAACAGCAGTGCAACACTCATCGCCTCCACCTGCAGAGACAGAAATGCCGAATAGGCCAGCTTGCGAGATGGAAAGACTAGCTGGCGCCACGTCAGATGCCACGTCAGGTCTTCACCCGGAGAGCTCAAGCACAGGGGGTCCAACCCCCCCTGTCCACAGTGACCCGGCGACAGCCTGGTCAGCAGATTCAGTGCATCAAGACAATCCCACGGGCGGCTCGGGGAAGGCTGACAATCCCGAGGCTGGCTCAGGGGAGGCTGAAAATTCCGGAGCTGCACAACAGGATACAGGGGAACCAGCAGGCTTAGGTTCGGGACTTACGGACCGGGCTGGGAGATTCGATGGTGTGGTCCAGGGCAGAGGTGGTGTGGTCCGAACCTGGGAGCTCGATCCGGAGCGCCGAGCCAAGAGCTGGCGAAGAGACGTGGAGGCACAGTCGGCTAGGGGTGAAAAGAAGAGAAGAGGCTCAGAGACACAGGTAACAGGTCCGGAAGCAACAGGTGCGGGTAATGGGGGGAGAGAAGAGGGGGAGAATGCAGGGGCTCAATCTGTAAGCAGAGGATCAACGGCTGTGATTGACTCTGGTGCGGAGGCAGGTAATGAGGCGTGCCAGATGGAGGGGCGCGTAAGTGCGTCTGCTGATGCAGGCGGAAGGGAGGGCGAAGAAATTCACGTGAATACTGAGGCTCCTCTAATGGCGTCTGATGGGGGTGGTGGTGGCGGAACCTACCTGTTTGCAATGAAGCTGCGACGAGTGAGGAGCTCAGGAGACGTCACTGAAGGGGACGTTTCTAAAGGGGATGTTGCTTCTAACGGGGATGCTTCTACTGGAGATGCTTCTAGTGGGGTTGTTAGCAGCGGCGCTGCATCTGGGAGTGCTGGGTTGAAAGGCAGGCAGGAGGGGAAGGGGAGTCTGTTGAGTGTGATGGAGCATGGGAGCGATGATGGTGTGGTGCAGAGGGATGGTGGTGTGGTGCAGAGGGATGGTGCTGTTAAGGTGCAGAGGAAGAGAATGTTGGGAAGTGAGCAGGTGGCAGAGGAAGGGGATGAGAGGGAGGGGGTTCAGAGCGATGCAGGGCAGAGGGGCGGAAGGGAGACTGGTTCAGAGGCCGTGGAGAATGGAGGTGGTGGTGTAGGTGATAATGGGGATGTGATGCTTCCCGGCAGCTTCTTGTGCTTCGTCAGGAGTGCTGACCAGCCTGGCGCGAAATTCAGTGCAGGGTGGGGGGGGAGTGCTACTCCTTCTCCTGCTTCTGCTGCTACTGCTGCTACTGCTGCTACTGCTGCTGCTGCTGCTACTGCTGCTACTGCTGCTACTGCTGCTACTGCTGCTACTGCTGCTGCTGCTGCTACTGCTGCTGCTGCTGCTACTGCTGCTACTGCTGCTGCTGCTGCTACTGCTGCTGCTGCTGCTACTGCTGCTACTGCTGCTGGTGCTAGGTCTGGAGCACGGTCAACAGGAAAGCATCACCGCAAGTCGTTATCCTCTTCATCCTCTTCATCCTCTTCTAAGCCATCCTCGTTAAGAGTGCCTTCACTGAAATCCCCTTCTCCCGAACAACCGTCTCCAATAGCTTTTCTACCAACGCCCTTCTCGTTAGAAGCCCTATCACCGAAGGCACCCTTGTCTCGAGCTCCCCCCACGCTATCCCTCCCCCCTGCTTCTCCCAGGTCCCCCTCCCTCCCCCCACTGTCCCCCTCAGGTCTCTCCGCCACCCTTCCCCCAGCTTCCCCCAGGTCCCCCTCCCTCGCTCCCGCTTCCCCTTCTGGTCTCTCCGCCAACCTCCCCCCAGCTTCCCCCAGATCCCCCTCCCTCCCCCGCCCTCTAGCCTCCTCACCCCAGGCCTCATCAGCCAAAGGGGGCGTGTCTGTAATCCTGCCCACAGCCCCAGTCCCAACCTCCCCTAAGTCTATTTCCCCCAAGCCCGCCTCCCCCAAGCCCGCCTCCCCCAAGCCCGCCTCCCCCAAGCCCGCCTCCCCCAAGCCCACCTCCCCCACGCCCGCCTCACCCAAGCCCACCTCCCCCAAGCCTACATCCCCTAAGCCTGCTGCCTCTGCTGCCTCCTCTGCGCCTGCCGCCCCCGCTGCATCCACTGGTGGTTCTCAGCAGCAAAAAACAGACACAGCGCTTCTCCTCTCTCTTGAAGCACCTCAGAACTCACCTGCTGCCCCTGCTGCCTCCTCTGCTGCTGCTGCTGCTGCTGCCGCTGCTGCCGCCGCTGCTGCTGTCACTGCCTCTGCCGACGAAGACGCCCTTCTCTTGTCTCGACTCGGATCCCCTCGCATCGTGCTACCCAGCCGCATACAGTCACACTCGTTTAAGTGCATAAGCAGCACAGGCGCTCAGTACAACAAAGCCACCCTTCAGATGGCAAGATCGCGCAGCGATCCTGACTCTCCATCCGCATCCCTGCTCGATCCAACGGCTGACGTCACCCCTCCTCCCTGCCTCCCCACCCATCTTTCCACCCCTCCTCGCCTCTCCACTCCCCCACGCCCACGCTCGCGGGGGGGCTACAGTAAACTGCAGGTAGATTTAGCAATCGTCACCACTGTAGCAGATTTCATCGGATTTGATTTGTTCGGGGACGGGGAGGAGGAGGGGGAAGGTGCGTCTGGGGAAGGTGAGTCTGGGGCAGGTGGGATGGATCCGTGGGGTATGGTTGCTGCTGTGGGTGGATCGCTCTGGCCTATGAGTGACTGTATGGAGGGGGAAGAAGCGGCAGGGGTTGGTAAGGTGCAATTGAATGCAGCAGAGGTGCTTGTGGTTGATTCCGCGGAGAGTGACTGTATGGAGGGGGAAGAGGCGGCACAGGAGGTGCTAGATGATACGGCAGGTGTGCGAGAGGTGAATGGGGAGGATGTGACTAAAAAGGATGTGAATGGGGAGGATGTGACTAAAAAGGATGTGAATGGGGAGGATGTGATTGGAGTGAATGTCACTGTAACGGCAGCTGGAGGGGTGAGGGAAAGCAGAGGGCAGACAGATGTGACTGTAGAAAATGTGACTGCGGCTGAGGAAGTGTCTGGTGGCGATGTGACTTTAAAGGGGGTGGGCAGCGAGAAGGTGCATATAAGGGAGGTGATTATAGCAGCCTCTGAACTGTGGAGGGACGTAATTGACCACCGGGAGGATGTTGAGATGGCTATAGAGGGGGCATTGGTGGATAGGGTTACCGCACAGAGCGAGGTGACAGTAACGGGTGTGACTGTAGGTGAGTTTGGGGTTGGGCGAGAGGCGGCAGAGGAGGGAGAGAAGGGAGAAGGAGGCATGGAGGAGGCTGTGAAGGAAAGAAGGGTGGAACGACAAGGTGTGGGTGTGGGATTGGGTACTGATGTGGCTGCTGGTGGGACTGCTGATGTGGATACAGGCGATGGGGTGCTGAGCTGGCAGGAAGTTTGCAAGCAGGGGAAGGTGATTGTAACGAGGGCCAAGGCCTTTATGGCTCTCTCAGGAAGGCTTGAGTGTGATGTTGTAGGTTGTGATGTGGTGAGACTGTCAGCGACAGATGCAACGCTGCCAGGGACAGATGTAACCGTCCAGGGGACAGATGTAACCCGAGCAGGGACGGATGGAACTGTTCCAGAGACAGATGTAACCCTGGCAGTGGCGAATCTGGTGTTTCTTGCTGAGCAGCATCTGCTGCTGCTGAGACAGCACGCAGAGGGAGAACGAATTGGGGAGGAGGGTGTGACTGTGGGCGATGTGACTGTAGGCGATGTGACTGTAGTAGGTGGTGTGACAGTAAGCGGTGTGACTGCTGGCGGTGTGGTAGCAGAAGGCCCACGAGAAAGTGCAGGGCGGTTGGAGGTTCTGCTTCTGCTGCTGGTGGGTATTCTGAGAGTGATGGAGGCGAGGAGGAGGAGAGGTGTGGAGAGAGGGGGGGATGTGAGGGAAGAGGGAAAGATGGAGGGAGTGGGTGCTGAAAATAAAGAGGCCGAGGAAGAGGAAGGAGAAGAGGAGCAAGAAGAGGATGAGGAGGTAAGGAATGGGGAGGAAGGAGGGGAAGAAGAGGAAAGAGAGCAGGACGGGGAGGAGGAAGGGGGGGAGGAGAGGGAGGAGGAGAGGCGGAGTGAGGCAGAGCTGTGGGATCGAAGCAGAAAGCTGCTTGAAGCTGCCTCAGAGCATGCGGCCCTGCTGGTGGATCGCTGCCTGTCTCTTGCAGATCAGCACACAGAGAATGCGGGGTTAGAGAGAGGAGACAGAGAGAGGAGTTCCCAAGGAGTGGTTGCCCCGAGGGCAAATAGAGGTCAGCAGCAGGGGATGGCTTCTGTGTTCTGTCTAATTGAGAGCGCTGAGCTGCTTTGTAGCTGTGTCCCGCCCGCTGCTGCTGTTGCTGATGGTGCTACTGGAGCAGATTCATTGCCGGAAACTGTTCAGCTTTCAGCAGCAGTGCCGGCGTCGTCGGGGGTGGCAGCGGCAGCAGCATTTAGGGACCGGGCTGCGGCACATGGGGTGAAGATATGTGCCGCAGGAGCAGCAGCAGCGGCAAAGGCTGCAGCAGAGCCAGCAGCAGCAGCAAGAGAAAGAGCTGTGGATGTTGCTCGGGATGGAGTGGGGCTCGTTGCAGCAGCAGCAGAAACGATTGGAGAGCTGCTGAAGCCACGACCAAGGCAGAAGCAGCTGCAGAATGAAGAACAGGAGCAGCAGCAGCAGCAGCAGCAGCAGCAGCAGCAGCTGGAGCAGGAGGAGCAGGAGAAGCAGGAGAAGCTGCAGGGAGAGCAGCAGCAGGAGGAGCAGCAACAGCAGCAGCAGCAGCAGCAGCAGCAGCAGCAGCAGCAGCAGCAGCAGCAGCAGCAGCAGGAGGCCTATTTTCCTGTACCGAAGCATTGGGTTTCTCGCCTGCTACTCTCTGGATGGCTGCTGCTGCAGCGCCATGCGGCTGCTGCTGTAGAGGCTGCTGCAATTGTGGAAAGTTTGGGCTTTGACTGTATCAGTAAAGAGACGGACGGAAGTGGGTCGGCTGTTGTTGTCACTACCCTCCGGCTCAGGCTTTCTTTCGTCTGCACCCTGGTGGAAGCCTACAGGAAGCTTCTGCACTCAGCTGCAGGGTTCTGCGGAGGGCAGGGGGCGAAAAGGGGATCAGGAGCGGAGGGGAAGCGAGAGGAGGGGAGTGGAGGAGAGGAGGGGAAGGGAGAGGAGGGGAGTGGAGGGGAGGAGGGGAAGCGAGAGGAGGGGAGTGGAGTGGAGGCGAAGCGAGAAAAGGGGAGTGGGGAAGAGGGCATGCAAGAAGAATCGGGGAGTTGTAGGTGTGAGTGGTTAGAGGGGAGTGTGAGTGTGAGAGAGTGTGAGGAGGTATGTGCAGAGATGCTTGGAACAATAAATGCAATGCAGTTGCGGTTCAAGCTGTCTCGACAAACAGATTGCTCTTCTCTGAAGGAACAGGCTTGTGGGCAAGACGCTGAAACGAATGTGCTGGTTTCCCTGGGATTCTCAGGGCTGTTGGCAGTGGCAGGCGTGGTGAGAGAGGTAGAGGCTGCGGCAAATGTTGAGGAGGTGACTCTTGAGGCGCCTGAAAGGTCAGGAAGCTCTGAAGGGCCTTGGAATGAGCGAGCTGGTGGTGCTGTCATGGGGAAGCGACGAGAGAATCTAGGGATGAAGGGGAAAAAAGCACAGGAACGGGCAGGGAGAGCAGGAAGACGGAGTTGGATGGGAAGAGACGGAGGATGGGTGGTGGAAGAGTTGGGCCAGAGGAGGATGAAGGGAAGGAGAGAAGGAAAATTGATGAAGGGAAAGAGGGAAGGGTTCGGGGGTGTGGGTGCCGCAGGAGAGAAGGAGGGGAGAGGAAGCAGAGAGGGTTCAATGAAGGGGGAGAATGCAGGGTCTGCGGCTGCTGGGGCGCTTGTGACGGAACCGAGTGTGCTTGTAAGAGGGGCTGCAAGTCTCTTGGATGAAGTGAGAGATGGGGTGGGCAGGTTGATTATAGGAGGAGGTGATTATAACAGAAGCACCATATCTTACAATTCACGTTGGGGGGGAATAAAATCTGCAGATGATGAGATCCGCGGAGATTTTGTCGTCAGCCAGAGTGCCGCCGCCCAGATTGCTCTGAGCCTTGTGGCAGCTTCTGTCCGGCATTTTTGTCTTGTAGCCGGGGAGGGCGGTTGCAGGGAGAGCGGCAGCAGTTTGGGGTTGGAGATGGGTGGTGTGCGGTGGGGAGGGAAGTTTTTGAGGAAGGCGGTGGGGAGCTGTGCCACTGTGATTGGTGCTGCTGCTGTGCTGGCAGGTAAGGTGATTGGGGAGGAGCGTCGTGAAGGATAAGGGTAGGTGGAGTAGGAGAGGCCAGTAGGGTGGTGAGCGAGGAGGAGAAAGATGAGGAGGTGCGAGCAGCAGCAAATGCGCTATTGCATGCAGCAGAGAGGCACTTGAGTGTGATGAAGGGCATCGAGAGAATGCAAGGGGAGTCGCAGCAACAGCCGCAGCAGCAGGGGAAGCAGGCGCAACAGGAAGAGCCTGGACCAGAGGTGGTTTTGGCCACGGGCGAAAGCAGGGAGGCAGACAGGGAAGCTGGTGTCTCAGGTCAAGCAGACCTGGATCGTGTGCAAGGCAGGGTTGCATGGCATATCAACAGCTGCACCAGCACCAGACGTGTGCGAATGGCTTCTGTTGCTGCTGCTACTGCTGCTTCAGCTGTGGCACAGCACTTGGCTAAGGACATTGAAATGCTGGCTGGGTCTGATTGCTTGTCTCTTCCTGATGGCTTTGCGATTTTGCTGAGAGGAGGGGCTGGCCAGGGGAGGGCAAGACGGGGGCTGTTGCTCAGCAGAATTCTTTTCCGGGCAGCCCAGCTGGGGCAGGCGCTGCTGCTGCTGCACAGGACGGTCAGTGTACCGGACTTTGCGGCAGCGAGCGAAGGTGAGGAAGAGAGAGTGTGTGAGGCGGAGAGTGAGATTGAGGTGTTGGGATACAGGAAGCAGGCTGTGAGGGACGGAGTTGTGATGCTGGGCCACCAAGGGACGGACTCCATTGCTGCTTCTGGAGCTTTTGAGAATTCTCAAAAGGGCCACCAAGGGACGGACTCCATTGCCGCTTCTGGAGTTGCTGATGGCTTGACTGCTGATGGTGGTTTCGCTGCTCGCGTTGCCAGTGGGTTTGTGTGGCTGGTGGGGTGGTCAGAAGAAATGGCCGCACTCGCTGCGGAGCTGGAGCAGCAGAGGGGGAGCGAGGCACAGAGAGGACAGGAGGGTGCCTTGGGGGAAGGAGGAGAGGGGAATGTGGTGGTGAAGGGGGTAGTAGCACAGGCAGCAGCTGTTAGGGGACTGGCCCGAGACCTGCGGATGCAAGTCGAGCTGCAGGAGCAACAGGGGACAGAGGGGAGTGGTGTAACTGGTAACCATGATCCTGCTGAGAGGAACTCGGTTACCACTTTCCACGGTCCTGGTGTGCTGAGTCAGCGCACTTCTCTGGCTGACCTGGCAGAAGCGCATGCTGACTCGTGTGCCGGGTTTGCTGAGTCAGCAGCAGCTGGGTCGTCTGGTGACGCCTTGCAAGACCTGCTGCTGCAGGCAGAGGGGGTGGCGGTGGAAGCTTCTAGGCAGCTTCGAATGCTGTGGCAGGCAAAGAAGCAGAGAAGCAGCAGCAGAAGGAGAAGGAGCAAGAGGAGCAACAGCAGCAGCAGGCAACACCAGGAATGGCAGGGGAAATCATGTTGGGCTGAAATCAGCTGCAATCATGGTGGTGGTGGTAGTGGTGGTACGGGTTCGATAAATTATGGAGATCTTGTACATCATGCTCTCCGAGAGGCAGGTGGTGATAATGAACTCCCGTTGCTGGCAACACTGGTACATCAAGCGCAGTCCCACCGGTCGCTGATGCTCCAAGCCACACACAGCAGGGCAGGAGAGACAGGTGTAGGGGCGGAAAGCAGAACCCACGGCTCGGGGGAGGCTGTATCTGGGGGAGGTGCATGTGACTCTGTAGTGCTACCAGAGTCATACGCTGGGGAGCTGGCACAGGGAGTGGGAAGGTCCTCTATCCGCCGCTCTGCCCTGCTGCTGCACCACCGTGCCTCCTCTCTCCTCCACCACCACCACAACCTTTCCATCCCCCTCGCCTCCCCGGCTTCAGCCATTCCCGGCCATGCCCCATCCCCGAAATTATCATCACCATTATCTACCACTTGTGCCTCCTCCTCTCCTACCACCAGCCACTTGGTCGTGTCAGCAGCAAGTACTGCAGCCAGGCTCGTGGCCTCCTCTTCCCTCCTTGCAGCACTCCTGCAAGCGCTGCTGGTTACCACTCCTGGGGGTAGCAGACCTGCCACTGATGCTGCTCCCTGCGCTGGAACCTCAGCAGAATTCGAACCATTCGCACCAGCATTATCATCAACAGCAGCTTCTCCTGCTGTACCTCCTGCTCTGCCTGCTGCTGTGCTGAATCAGCACCATGTCACCGTTCACTCACTCACCCTTTCCGTTGCTGACGTGGCAGCTGACCTGGACACGCAGCTCGCCAGGCTGGCAGACGCATGCTTCCGCCGCGCTGCCTGCACTGACCCTGCCAGTGCTGACGTGGCACTTGCGTATTGGCTGCTGGACGCAGGGGCAGAGCTGATGGCTCTCTCCCATTGGCTCATGCAGGAAGCAGGCGAAGGGAAGCCAAGTGTTACAAGTGTTTTGGGAGCAGCAGCAGCAGCAGCAGCAGCAGCAGCAGCAGCACCGGCAGCAGCAGCAGCAGCAGCAGCAGCACAGCAGCAGCAGCAGCAGCAGCAGTGAGCAGCGTGGGCTGTGTCGCTGCCTTGTCTCTCAGGCTGCTGAAAGTTCTCTCCTCCTCCTCCTCTGCTGTTTTGGCAACAGGCCTGCATGGCCCCTCCAGCTCTGTTGCGTTCCTCACCTCCGCCCCAAATCACCTGCCCCCCACGCTGACCTCTCGCCTGCAGCAGCTAGAAGCGGCTATACGCCTGCTAGTCCCCACACAGGAGCAGCCGCACGTTTGCAAGACGTCCCAGGACACCTGCACAAGAGTTTCCACTGGAAACGCGGCTGGCACAAGCAGCAGAGAGGAGAACCGAAGCAGGGAGGGGAATCAAAGCAGCAGTGGCAGCGGTATCGCAGCAAAAAGCACCCTGTGTGTGCCGTGGCTTCACCTGTGCTCCCAGGCTCTACCTCTCCTGTCCAACGTCCAAACTAGTCTCCAGTTGACTTGTGCGTCAACCCAAAGCTCATCCCTTTCTGTACCACACTTTCGCACCGCTGTAGCCGCTCCTGTGGTTTCTGTGCTCCCGCTGCGGCGCCTCCCTTTGGAGCCCCAGCTCCCCACAGCAGCAGCTGTTCCTGTGGTTTCTGCGCTG